GTACGCGACGAAGTTGTACAACTAGTACACGAAAAAGCTCGGCGGGGGGAAAAAGATGTAGATAACGTTGACAAGGACGAGGCCGGCACAACACTAGTACATGACGAAGTACCACTAGTGCACGACGCTCCTTGGGGGGAGCAGCAGCAGCAGGAGCAGCAGCAGCAGGCTAGCACTACCACCAGCAGTCCGCAGGCGGAGAACAACAAGGCTGGGGACGAGCAGGGGCGAGAAGTAGAGGAACACTTAAAAAGCCAGGTCGCCGCCTCCAGTAGTTCTACTTCTGCCACCACGAATGACAACCACGACCCGCACGGTACACGCTTTCCGCAGAGGCTGGACGTAGGCGATATTTTCGGTGATACCTTTTCGTCCGCAGCTGCAGCCTATGCATTGCAAAAGTAGAATCGTTGGACTAAGTAGCAGAAATTAATTGAATTATGCAAATTTCGATTTCCTCAAGTAGAAGTAGAACAAGGAAAACACAATCTTCCATGCGTGTTCCTCGTCGGGTAGAAAGTTGGATTTGTCATGCCGGACTGCAATTACTAACTAGTAGTAGTAAGTATGAGTCTGCGATAGAAAGATTACTTTTGCAGAGGATACGACCGGCCTGAAGGCCGTCGACGAAACCGAAGCACAGATCACACAATATGGCGTTCTCAAATGTTACATTCCCAACCGTTGTTTACATGATTTGTCATGCAAAATTGCAAGCAGGATGAGAATCGCAATCGACGTGATCAAGCTGCTTCAACATCGCATGACAAATTTTAGCAAAGCCAAACAGGCTAAGAATCTGTGCCAAATCTGTCATGCGAGACGTGCAAGGTCAGCACCCCTTGCACTTCTGCCATTCTTGCATCACAAAATCATGTTGTAACGGTTGAGAATGTGAGAACACCTGAGAGCGCGGCCATACGCAACAAGCGGAAGAAGCGAAGCGGTCGCGAGAGGGGGCGTCTTGTACTTTTCAGGAAGAGCGGCAAGACCTCCAGAGACAGAAGGAAAAGCTGGTGCTAGAACGCACCGCGTGGCAGAAAAGTGTATCCTGTGCAAAAGCATCGTACTCGTATTGTAATCATGCATGACAAATCCTTGAATTAAGGTAAATCCGCATTACAAATTTTGTTTCTCGTGCTGAGGAAATCTGTAATGCATTTATACGAGTACGGTACTTTTGCAGTTCATATAGTGTCTGCGCCAGCTACTCGGAGGCACAGCGTTTTCAGCAAGAATATGGCGTTCTCAACTGATGTTACATTTTTCTCAACTGTATGCATAAATTTGTCATCATGCAAAACTACTATACCATATGCCGTGAGATGGTCAAGCTACTTCGCGCACGACATCAAATCTCGGAACAAGGGCCAAACAGCATCTAAGTCTGTGCCAAATGTTCTGTGAAGCAAAAGCAGCAAGCTTGCCACCCTAGAACTCTTGCTATTGTTCTCGCATTACAAATTCGCGTAAAAACAGTTGAGAAGGTACTACCCGATTTGGGAAAGCCATAAAGACTTGAAGCGGACCGAACAAAAGCTGAAGTTGCAGGAGACGCATATGAAATGCAAAAGCATCGTACTAGTAGAAATCGCATTAAGCAATAGAAATGGAATTTGTAATCCGCATTTGCCTTAATAAAAAGATTTGTAATGCACGACTGCGATTACTACGAGTACGATACTTTTGCACAGGATAACGCATTGGAAACAGCAAGAAGTCCAGTGGAAAAGTATCAAATGCGAAAAATGTCTGGGTCTGGAACAAAGCAACTTGTCATGCTAAACCTGAATCATGTAAAAATCTGTGTTGCATGATAATGGTGCTTACCAAAAGCTGTCCACTTTTGACCTAATCGAGAGGTGGCAGTTCCTCACACAGGATAGGCATGATACAACTCTCACAGTAGAATCTGCCATGCTATGTCCTACAACATGCCAGACAATTTTGCAGTTGATAAGAAGGATTGAAGAACAGTACAAGTCGCGACTCGCGGAGAAGCAGGCACAAATTGACGAACAGCGAAGGGAAATCGCTACCCAGAAGGCAGTATCCTGTGCAAAAGTATCGCACTCGTGGTAGTTGCAATCATGCAATACAAATTTCCATCTCAAGGTAACTCAGCATTACAAACTCCATTTGATGTCATGCGGAGCTAATTTGTAATGCGATTACTACTAGTACGATACTGTTGCAATTCATAGGCAGAAGTCGCCTCCTGGCGCGACAAGTTCATCAACAAGTTCGAGGGCGCAGTTGTGCTGCAAGAACGGTCCCACCGCGCGCCAGGTTTTTTTAATAATAGTACCAGCAGTGCTATCAAAAAAAAAAAACTGTGTAAGTGTAACTTTTTTGCAGGAACAGCATCACAGATTTGTTTTGCATGACAGAAAACCTCTCATGCGTAGCTAGTAAGCGAAAACACGTATCAAAATAGCCTCTGACGCATATCCGGCATGACAAGTGTATACTGTATTGCAACATCTGCAAGACAAAGTTACACTTACACAGTTTTTTTCTTGCATAAGTGCCGCTCCTGGCGAATTTTTCGCGCACCAGTCCGCCTCCGCTTCCTCCGCTGTGCGTCCCCCTGCGCTGGAACTAAAAAAGTTGGAGAAGAGCCGGGAGGTGGTCCTGACGATCGGCGTTGTGGAAAAGATAGCAAAAGAGTATTTATGCAGTGCAAAAGTATCGTACTCGTACTTATGCATTACAAATCCAGTTCCTAAGGCAAATCCGCATTACAAATTCAATTTGTAATGCTGAGCCAATTTGTATTGCAACTTATACTTGTGCGATGCTTTTGCATTTCATAGTATTGCGAAAAATACCACGCGAAACTGGACAGACGGGTGGAAAAACTAGAAGCATTTATTTCGGAAAGCGGGAACAAGATGTTGGCGATTTCCGGCGAACAGGCCATCATCTCACGACAGGGTGGAAGCCAAATCAATACGAGCAGCAAGTCGTCCGGAAGTTCTGCAATGCTGGCAGGAGGCAGTAAAAGTATCGACGGCGGTGCTGCAACATTAGGAGAAAAAAGTGCTCAACACCTCCAGCCGGGGACAGCTTCTCTTCAGAACGCCGGTGCGTCCTCAGGGGAGAGACGACAACTGGTAGAAGACCACGCAGGTTGCAAAGTTCTCGATCTCGTGAAGAAGATGAATATGAAAAACACTGATCAAGTAGAAAAGTGCGGTAACAACCAGGGCTTGTTAGTCGGTAGTTCTAGATCAACTTGTGAAGTTGTCGGTGTCGGCGTCGGCCACCACCTCCTACAGGAGCACCACCTCCACAGCAAAAGCGACAAAACGAACAAATATGGTGCAGACAAGGGGTTATCTTCAAAAGAAGCAGGTGCAGGGTCAGAAGGCGGTGGTGGGACAGGGATTGTGGACGAGTCAAGCTGCGAGGACGAAATAAAGGAGAGCCAAGAAGTATGCAATGCAAAAGAAGTATCGTAGTCGCACTGAAAATTGCAGTTATGCATTACAAATCCAGATGCTAAGGCAAATCCCCATTACAAATTCCATTTCTAATGCTGAGAAAATTTGGATTGCAATCCCTACTAGTACGACTACGATGCTTTTGCGGTTTATAAGAACTACGTTCTCGTCAGGTCAGCTGCAACGGACGACGAGGTCGACTGGATGATGAACAAGAACACGGTGGAGCACAAGTAGAGCTCTTGCTATGGATTGCAAAAATGTCTGGGCCTGGAAACTTGTAATGCTAAAAATGAATGTTGATAGACGCACTGCAATACGCAGCTATGCATGAGAAATTGTTTGGCTGCTATCTCTTACGTATTCCGCATGGCAAACTGCGTTTTTCCATGACAGGTAAGAGGGCTTTATTTTCGTGCCTATGCAACACAGATTCTCGAGGGAGTCATGCCATACTAGCATGACAAATTTGGCATTCTTCATCCAGACCCAAACATTTTTACATTTGACACTTGCCGGACCAGAACAACGATGATCACGAGCCAGTAGTTCTTGCGCCGTCCAGGCAGAAAGAACACGTCGTGGGCCACGCCATCAGGGAACAAGAAGATGTTGGTCTTACTCCCTCGGCAGATGATGCGATCATGGAAGATGTAGTTGCCCTATCAAATGTAAAAATGTCTGGGTCTGGGAACTTGTGATGCTGGGTAGCGTCTCATGATGAGGCTACAAATGCTGGCTCAGCATGACAAGTCACTGAGCTCCTAGGTGTTGCTTATTCTGCATGACAAACTGCGCTTCTGCATCACAGAAAAGCGCAGCTCTTGGGTAACGTGCATGACAGATTTAAGAGTCATGCAAGACAAGCATGACAAACATGCATTCTTCCAGACCCAGACATTTTTGCAGTTGATATGCCCCCTCAGCTGCATCCGATGACGAGGAAAGAAGTAGAAATTTTTTATCCCGTGCAAAAGTATCGTACTCGTACTAATCGCGTTTATGCATTACAAATTTCTTTCTCAAGTGAAATCCGCATTACAAATTTCATTTTTCATGCTGAGGAGATTTGTCATGCGATTTATACTAGTACGATAGTTTTGCAATTCATATTTTTATGACCACCACCATATTAGAACAAAGCAGGCTGCTCAGGAGAATAATCAGGTGAAGCATGTTGAGGAGCACTCGCACTCGGACGACAGCAGGTCCTCCTTCCAAAGTGACGAAATATCAAACTAAAAGCGTTATTAACGTTAAAACGGAACTTGTGATGCAGTAATGCATCAGAGAAGGCAGCCAAATTTGTATTGCGTAGCATGCATGGAAGGCCAAATTTGTAATGCATGGCTGCCTTTTGTGAAAACCAAAACCGTTAATGTCGACACTTTTTTGCTTGATACGAAGGTAGCAGGGAAGTAGATCGTGATGTCGTCCACCACGACGACGACCAAGATTTGGATCCGAAACAAGAAGGCGCGAAAGAGGATCAACAGCACCAGGTCATCGTTCAGGAGGCTCAGGGTCACGACGACGACGACGACGTAGAGGAGGATGAGAGTGCAGAGGAAGAAGGTATTCTGAGTAAAAACGTCCGCACCCCATGAGAGGCATTTTCTAGGCGTGCTTTGGAATTTGTGATGCTATAATCAGCATGACAAGCTAGATCTGTGATGCTGCTGAACTACCTAAACAGGATTACACTACGCGGCCAAACTTGTCATGCGAAACAACCAAAGCTGGCTGATTTGTCTAGCAGATTTCCCATCTTGACTCTGGTGTGGGGACGTTTTTACTCAGGATACAGGAGCACGACGATTCTTCTCAGGACGAAGATTCTTCTCAGAAAAGCGACGGCTTTTCTGAGGCCGCGGACAGGAGCAGGTATAATACTGCTATATCATGAAGCTGCACGACAAGCAGATGCGCTTTCATGATGCGTTTTATTTGTTACAACCCGTACTAGAAGCAGAAGCTGCAGGGAGTTTTAGAGTCTGCTCTTTCCATCATTTCTTCTAGTACACTTCACGATGAACTACACGAGGTTGTACAAAGATGTAAGTGCCTACTTTTGATTACATGCAAATCCAAAAATTGAAAAATTTCACCCGCAATTAGAAAATAGAATACAGTAATACAGTACAACATTTATCAAAATCGTCGAAAACAGTGCCGTCGACCAAGAGGACGACCGAGAGGAGGACCAAGAGGACGTCGACCAAGATCATGACGAGCAAAAAAACGCTGGGGGCGAGAACGAGAAGAACTATCAGCAAAAATCTGATGGCGCAGCGTCGATATCGAGCGAGCGGGGAAGTTTAGAAAAATTTTCTGGGGACGAGGAGGAGGAGAAACACAGCAGCTCCTGCAACCAGGTGCATGATGAGCACTCGCGCTCGCACTCGGACGACGGGCAGAGAGCTGCCCCCGCAACTACACCTACTTCGGTGGAAAAGAAGGAACAAGCCGAAGATGTTGCTCGTGTTTTTGAAGAGGACGAGGAGATGGAACGCGAACATTCACATGAAGATCATGCAGTGGGACGACGACGACGACGACCCCAAGAAGATGAAGATGCTGTAGTAGACGGTTCGTCTGTTCTTGAAGAACACGAACAACAGGAGGAACTACGCGAGCATTTGCAGGATGCCGAACTAGTACAAGCAGATGTCCTCGTAAGCGGTTCTGGAGAGGAGCAGGAGCTCGAATTCCTGCAAGAGAACTACTACGACCCATCCTCGTCGGGGGAAACCAAGAAAAAACGGAAGAAAAAGAAGAAGAAAACCACGACCACCGATGAGATTGATGAAAAGGACCACCAGGAGGTCCACCGTGATCTGCCTTTGGAGGACGAGCGGGCGGTGTTGGGGACGTATAGAAAATGCTGATTGATTGAGTAGATGAACTACGCCTTTGGTGCCCCCGCGGACAAAAGAAATACAGATCGGAAAAAAATAAAATAAAAATTTGAAACACGATGATGAAGGTATTACAAGAAAACCCCTCCACAACAAACAGGAACGTCGATCCTGGACACGAAGTAGACCACCAGGCCCAGGGTGCGGTGGAGGGAGGACAGTTACAACAACGAGCCAGTACACAGCACGAATTCGATACTATCGCCAGAAAACGTCGAAAATAAACTCGCTTCACTGGTGCAGGAAACTTGTCATGCAGGAGATGTAGCAGAGACAGAGAGGAGAGGTTTTAGTTTGTCTTGCGAGTTCGACACTCGAGAATGATCTGGAAGTGGAAGATCTCTATCAATATGCAACTTTATGTTTTTCTTTTATGAACATGTGGATTTGAATTCATGATGCAAAGAAACCGCCCTGATGGTGCAAGGAAAGGGTGTACAGTGATGAAGCAATTCAAGATTTTTCGTACCATATTGAAGGATGAAGATCTCCGTGACGAGAAGAAAAACCGCAAGACCGGCGGGGCAAAAGAGAAGAAGAAAAAGAGCAAATGGTAAACAAGTATCTAAACATTTTGATTTGCATGGTGATGCGGTGCGGCATTTTTACTAAGTAGGAACAATTCCCGTGCTTTAGCTTTTGAGCTAGCATGTCAAAAATCTATTCGAAGTCGAACTGCATCAGTCGCAGCTTACTCCGACCGATTTTTCTGAATGAGAGGAAGAAAAATGACTCCGCTAAAAAACCGAAATCATATCCATATGCAAACCATAATCGAAACAGCGCCGCTAGTACGACTGCTCGTCCGGGGCCGGACGAGGCCGAACGGCTTGAGCAAGACGAATATGAACTGCAAAAGTATCGTACTCGTATTATTGCAGTCATGCATTGCAATTTTTTTTCCGAAGGTAAATCCGCATGACACTAATGCTGTGGAAATTTGTAATGCGTTTATACGAGTACGATATTTTTGCAGTTCATAACCAGGAACAAGATGAAGCAGTAGCAGGACAAGGAACGACAGAGGAAGCTGTACTTGTTGATAATGATACCACCAGCGCGGAGGTAATGATACAACCGGTCCTCGAGAGGACCACATCATCAGAAGTAGGAGATGTTGAACCTCCGGAGAAAAAAAAGAGAAAGAAGAAAAAGAACAAAAATCCAGTTGCCGAAACGACCACTGATGAACATGATCAAACGCCGGGGGTTGAGGAAGTAGGTCGCGCGCACGATCCTGTACACCAAGAAGTAGTAGTTGACGATCAACAAGCCGGAGGACAACGACAAGACGAATCCATATCTGCTCCAAACGTGGTCAACACCGCGACTGGCACGACAAACAAGAAACGAAAACGGCGGAACAAATCTACCGCTGTTGATGTGCAGGAAGACGTGGAACTCCCGGGAGGGGAAGCTGCAGCAGCAACCACGGGAAGTGGAGCGGAAAACGAAGGCACGAGGAGTAAATCGACGCTGCTTGCTAAAAGAACTTCGTTTCTATCCCTTGCTGGTGAAGATCTTACAACAATTTTCTAGCTTCGAGCACGAGCTTTACGAAGCTGTTTGCCCATGAATTGTTCGTTTATAGATTCGTTGATCATGCTTCGTTTTCTATCACTGCTTTTCGTTTTCCTTCCAACAGGTATTGACAATCCGAATCCTGTCGAACCAAACTCCGAGAATGCGGGCTCGGCTTTGGGAGGTGGAACGCACGAAACCACCGTGACTGCAGCAGGGAAAAAGAAGAAAAAAAAGAGCAGTAAAGGGCCGAAAGGTAAAATTCTCTTTGATCACATTCTTTATAGTGGCAGCGTGAGCGTCCAGTTCACCTTGCGTATGCATGTTGCACCTGACAATAAAAACGACCAAACCCAGATGACCCCAGTGCCAGTATGATTCCGGCAGACGAGCGTGAAGACCAGGACCTAGTACCACGGATTGACCACGGCCACGACCTTCAGGATAGAGAACCTGACGCGGACGTTGCCGCTTCGAAGCCCAAGAAGAAGCGCAAGAAGAATCAGTGAGACATGAGCTGCCAGCTCCTCGTCCTGGTCAGGATGAGCTCCTCGAAGATCGTGCTGAAGATGATCCAGAAGTTACCACAGCGAAGCCGAAGAAGAAGCGCAAGAAAAATCAGTGAGAGCAGAGGAAAATAAACTGATTTAATATAGTCTATCTATGATCTTCGTTTAGTCATGTTGCAAAAGAACCTTCGGTCAAATAAAGGCTCCTCGACAGGCAAGGTGATTCATTTTCATTCTCTCAAGTGTCGATATGATGCTTCCAGGTGGGTAGACTATTCAAATCTACAAAGGACGAGATCATATTGACACCAGAAGAGGCTGCAAACTACATTACGACCCGCAATTTTATATTGTGCTATCAATCGTAACAAGGACGTCGTGCGACTGTGACTGTGCATCATAATCCAGTATTTATTTCTCTTGCGAACCTATATATTGCCAACTATAGTACTGGGAAACAAGAGACAACCGATTCTACTGTTCTTTCGTCTTTGGTCCACATGCCAACTTTTTGTTCGACGAAAGGAAAGTTCGTTTATCAATACCAGTAGTGCAGTGCAGAGAAACTACGGTGTTGGTCGTGGTGTCAAGTTATTCCGATTTCGATTTATTTCGTACTTGCGTGCAGTGGGAGTGGAGAGATGGACAAGAGGTTGCCTTTCTGCACTATTCTCGTCCTGCGTGAGAAGTTCTTTCGGTTTTCAATTTTCGTCGCTTTGTCGTGCTACACGAGGAGTCGTCGTGGTACGAGCCGGGTCGTCATGATCGTGGCCGCTGCGAAGGAAATTTAGACAGTTTTGGCAACAGCACCAATCTACCAAAAGAGCGTGGCCTGTCTGTACTTAATTTGTTGTTGCATTCAGGACCAAGAGCAGGAACAAGCTGCGAGGATCGTTCCTCGTCAGCAAGCAGAAGTATAAAAAGTAGAGGACGAAAAGTCATTAAGCAAAAATGTCCACCTCCGCAGTGGAAAAAGAAAAGCAGCCTCCGCTGTCTCCCTCCCGCCAGGCGGCACAGTTATGAACTGCAAAACCATCGTAATAGTATAAAAAAAAAGCATGACAAATTTCCTGAGCATCAGAAATGAAATTTGTAATGCGGATTTGACTTGACAAAAACATTTGCAATGCATGACTGCAATTACTACCAGTACCAGTGCGATACTTTTGCAAAGCATAAGAGTACCTGATCGGGAAGCACCCGGTGGACGGCGATACCCTTGCTCCGAAGGAGAATCCTCTGCCGTTGCCGACCCTGCTGATGAACCACTACCCCACGCCCAGCGGTGTTTTGCTCACCGGCCGGGAAAAATTTGTCCACGATGTGCAGCTATCAAATGTAAAAATGTCTGGGTCTGGAAGATTCTGAGACTTGTCATGCATGTTTTGTATTGGCCATGATGTCTGTGATGCATGCCCTAGCACCACAGATTTTTTGAGGGCTTCGCGATGCCTATTCCGCATGACAAATGCCCTCTCCGCGTAGCAAAAATTGCGTTCCCTTTGCTGCTCATGCAATACAGATTTTTTTGGAATAGAAATTCAGCATCACAAGTTGCATTCTTCCAGACCCAGACATTTTTACATTTGATAGCAGCACGCCTTGTACTGCGAGGAGTGCGGTCAGGTGAAAAGGAACGCCTACCAGATGCCCAGTGACCACTTTCGAGAGTACAATATTGAGATCAGATTATACGCCGAGGATACGATCTATCATGTTCGTCGTTGATGCAAAAATTACTCTGATGACTGAATGCGTTTGTGCTCTGTTTTAGGCTACTTACATGAAACGTGTGAGTTGTTCCTGTAGCCGCACGAAAGAACGATTTTGCAACTCTCTTCAAACCACCAGGACCATCGAAACGTGCTTGGAGGAGGCGATTTGGAAGGCTGGCGCGCTGAGTGGCAAAGACGTCAACGAACTGACGCAGGCGATTATGTACAGAAAAAAACTGTGTAAAAAGTGTAGTACTTTGGGTTGCAGATGACGATGATGAAGATGATGCAAGACAGTTACAATTGTCATGCTGGAAATGCATCAGAGGATCTTTTTAAACATGTTTGATGTTCCAGGTATTAGCGTACGCATGACAGGCTTCCAGGGTGAATTTGTGATGCTGCTCCTCCAAAAATGATACTACATACACACTTTTTTTCTTCGATAGCGATGGTGCACGTCTTGACGGTGGCGAAACCCATATGCAATGCAATTTTTACGCCTCCGCAGCGTAGCCTGGATGAATTTGTTTTTGTCTTGCATAAAAAGTAGATTATAGAAGTAGACACCAGCTGCACCACAGGCTCGTAGCCAGCCGAAGGACTACAATTCTTCTTCTTGTGTGTAATTTTGCATACGGATATGCTGCATCTTCAGGAGAAGTACACAGAAATGCGAAAAGTGCGATCATCTACTTAATAATAGACACGACTTACTTATTCGGGTAGTTCCCTTTGACATTGTTGTGCAGAGCGCTGGGGGCAAGGGCACAGTTGCATTGCATAGAACAACCCGAAGCTCGAAGCTGCTGCGGCGAAGACCATGAGGCGGTACCAAGAAAATCGGGTTATGGCGTTCTCAAACGTTACATTCTCAGCGGTGACATGGATTTGTAATGCGCGAACAGCAATAGTATAAGTGGCAATATTGCAACTTTCGCATCACAGGTTTGCCACAGATTATCATGCTGTTTAGCCCTTCGAAAATTTGTCATGCTAAGCACCTTGATCAAGTGGAGGCTGATGGCGACTTTGCATGACAAATCCGTGTAACAATTGAGAATGTATACAGTTGAGAATGCCATACGGGTGCCGATCGACGTCTGAAAAGTGCCAGTCTATTGGCCGAAGCAAATCGACAATCGGAAAATGAATCAGAAGCGAGCTGTACTGACTTAAATTGATTTTAGAATAGAGGATTTTTTCGTGCGGTAGTTTAGCTACCAACTGTTGAACGAAGATGATCTTTATCTATTCCCCGTTGCAATGTGCGACTTTTCCTCATTGCCATCTGAAGATTTTTACCTGCTTCGCACGAAATTAAGTAAGTAAACTGCGCAAAGAACATGTGTAGAAGTTTCTCTTTCTGTTTCATCTCATGTGGACTTGCATAAACGCCCAGCTAGTACTCGACAACTTTTCGTAGCGTGACCTCTAGTTGTCTACAGCTTTTTTATGTAAAAATGAATCTCCTGCTACAACACCTACGAACTGATAATGAAACAATGTGTTTTAGCATCGTTGGAGCTACTATTGCAGTTGGATTTGAACAATACATTGCACAAAAGTTGGAAATTTTCTTTATTGCGCACACCAAATAAAAGTGGAAAAGAAGAACGCAATAGCCCTTATTAGAGGCAGTGCGCTTCTTTGTCGTCGCGGATGGTCTTCGACAGGGGTAGTTCTTCAACGAAAAAGTATCACAAGCCTCTCGTCCGGGTCCGCCGCTGCAGCTGTCACGTAGTACTACACCGGTTGAGTTGTCCCGAAAAAAAAATTATCACTGCCGATGTAATTAAGAACCGACGAGGCAGAAAAATGTTGTCGAGATGAGAGGGTAGGTAAGTAGCAGGAGAGATAATGTGATGGGCGATTTTATTTCTCCGCCTCAAAATGTTGTCAATCATAATGCCCGTCGTGTGATGTTGGTGGCAAAAAATGTCTCGAACTACTGCCCCCACCTCTTTACTCTAGTAAAGAGCGAGAACCTCCAAAGCCAAAGTGTGAAACAAAGATCCTGATCCCCTGTCTGCACTCCTGGTTTAGGATAGACAAAAGAAAAACTCTAGTGAACTTAATTTTATCTTGGAGCTGATACGAGATGTTGAGGTTGACATAGCAGTCTATATGACGATCAAGATAAAAAAGAGCATTGCCTCTTTCTTGGACAACTTGTTCACATCTGGCTATGTCTCTTCCAAGTCCACCACTTCATAATTTCATGACATAGTGATAAGATTAAGAAACGAAACTGCCTACAACGCAGATCTACTTCTACTTATGCCGCTTGTAGAATGAACCCGACTGCATCTTCCGTATCTATCTGGTGGAAACATCAACAGCGACAAAACAGAAGGAAGTTTGTTCATAACATCAATTTCTGGATGAACTTGAAATTTTGTTACTCCACTAGTACTACCTCGAGAATAAACATCAACTCGATTTTTACTAACGGCCGGTATCGTACTTCCTTGCTCGTATTTGGGCAGTTGTACTTCGCGTTGTCAGTAACAGAAATCCTTCGACGAGCCGCTCTCTGCGAGCAAGCTCTTACTAGTGCAGCCTCGCGTCGTGCTGCTGCCCGCAACAAGCTTTCTCTAACTTCTAATTCATTCCCGAAAATAAGATGGCCGATTCAGTCTGGGACAATTTCGATGCCGACTTTGAGTCTGCGCCACCACCGATGAAGCCGCAGCAGCCTGGTATGCAGTGCAAAAGTAAGTGGTACTATCGCTGTTATGCCTTTGTAGCAGGAGGAATTGCATGACAAATTCACTTTTTCCCCGAAGAAGAGAAAGTCGTATAAATTTCTCATGCGCTTGCGCGCACCAGAGAAAAAATAAAAAATGATTTGTGAATATGCGAGAGCGATGTGTAGTACTTTTGCAAACCATACCTGATCTCCTCGCCACTGGTGGTGCAGCTACATCCTTCGCCGCGTTATGAAAGTGCACAACTCCCTCGCCTCCCCCTCATTTGTAATACAACAGCATGAACGGCAATAGTGCAAGCATCAGTAAGAGTGCCGGTTTTGCATGACAGATTTGCGCTGGAGTGTAGTGCCCTTTGTGCTACCAGAACTTGTCATACTAACAGTGCCATCAAGAGGCAAAGCGTCGATTGGGTCTTTTGCGTGAGAAATGAGAACGAGGGGGAGTTGTGCACTGTCATACGCGTTCGACAATGTCGACAACCAGAGCACGACGTCAGCCAGTGGAATATCAAAGGTAAAAATATCTGGGTCTGGAAGACTTCGAGACTTGTCATGCTGCTTTTCCATGACCCATGAGGTCTGGAATGCAGGACCTCGCATGACAGATTCTGCGAGACCTTATTAATGCTTATCCTGCATGAGAAACTACCTCCCGACTTGGTCAAAACTGGACGACTTTTGGCAATCATGCAACACAGATTTTTGCATGCTGCAGATTTAGCATGACAAGTTGTAATCTTCCAGACCCAGACATTTTTACATTTTATATGGAACCGAGAGCCTCGGTGGATTTGGAATGATGAGCGACAGTATGATAAATCCAGCGGAAAACGGCGGTTTCGGCGTTACTGCCACAGGAAACAACGGCTTCGATAGCCTTCCATCTTCGAACGCGTTCGACAACGCCTTTGACACGTCAAATTTTTCGACCGGCTTGACACCCATGGGCGGTGGGGCCGACGATGCAGCTTCGGCCAATTTCGGCTCTTTTCCGCCAACTTTCGGGTCGTCAGCCAACGGGGAAATCGTTGGTGGGGTTAGCAGCGTGAAGCTCCTGGAGCTTGAGAAGACGGTAAGTATTTTTCTAGATCTGTTGCGATTGTGTTTTTCTTTTTATCACCGTTGTATGAATTTTTAAGCAGACCTCTCGCACCAGGAGAACATCATCTTCGTCCTCGTTCACCAAGCTCTATGTGTCCACCTCACATGCTCTTTTGCGTTTTAGTCTTAGTTTCATTGATGGCCAACCTTTAAGTTTCAACACTGACTCCCCGTAGAAGTATCTTCACGACACTAGCACTACAAAAAGCAGAAAGAAGTACAACCCTACTTCTATCAGGTAACCGACCTGCAGTCGCAACTCTCCCGCACCCAGTCCGAGCTCTCGCAGACCCAGTATGACAGTGCACAACCCCCCCTCCCCCTCATTTGTATAGCATGAACGGCAATACAAGCATCAGCAAGAATGCCGGTTTTGCATGACAAATTTACACTGGAGTGTAGTGCTATTTGGGCTACTCCAGAACTTGTCATGCAAACAGTGCCAATAGGCACAGCTTGCATTTGGGATTTTGCATTACAAATGAAGGGGAGGGGGAGTTATGCACTCTCATACCCAGACCCAGCTTTCCAACGAAAAACAGCGGTCGAATTCCGAAATGGAAACGCTGAAAGAGAAAGCGAGAAACGCTCTGCAGCTGAAAGAGAAAGAGCTAGAGGAAGCGCGATCCACTTCCACCTCGCAGGCGGCAGCCGCTTCTGGGATATGCATCGCAAATATGTCCGGGTCTGGGAAGTTGTGATGCACTACGATGGCTGAACTACGCTCTTGAATGTGCAGCCGCGCATGACAAAGTTTTGAGCTGCTATGTGCTGCGTAACTCGCATGGCAAATTGCGTTTGTGCATGACAAGCAAAAAGAGGTGCTTCTCCTACTCATGCATCACAGATTCAAGAGGCATGCCAGACAAGCATGACAAACTTGCACCTTTCCAGACCCAGACACTTTTGCAGTTGATTTGGGAGGACGCAGAGTAACTCCTCTTTAACCGACGAGCAGTGGCAGCAAAAAGTGGACGAAATAAAGGAGAAGGCGAGAGCGAATATCAAATGCAAATATGTCTGGATCTGGAAGGTTGCAACTTGTGATGCTGCATTTGGATGCTACAAAAATCTGTATTGCATGAACAGCAAAATAAGAGGGTCAGTTTTTGCCACGGCGAGAGGGTATTTCTCATGCGGTATCGACATGAGGAAGTCGTCACAAAATCTGTGATGCTAGGGTATGCGTCACAGATGTCAGGAGTCACGCAAACGGTGCATGACAAACTTTGCATCCTTCCAGATCCAGACATATTTGCATTTGATACCGAAATTCCAGGAGCAGAACGAAGAATGCGAAATGATCAAGACGAAAGCAAGAGAGGCCCTGGAGATGCGAAATACGAAGATCGCAGAACTCGAGAAACAGCTCGCAGAAGCTAATAGTGCGGGAGCCGCAGCTGCAAGTACTAGTGCAGGAACTCCAAGTGGTGGTGGTCCGAGCGAAGAAGAAATACAAAGCCGAATCTCCGAGGCGGTAAAAACCGCGGTTTTGGCCACAAAATCCGAGGCAGAAGCAGAGCTGCTACATCAGCAAGACCAGATTCGAACTGCGAAGGATGCGGAAATAGCCACGCTAAAGTCCGCGCTCGAAACCGCGAAGGAAGAAGCTGCAGCTGCGGCGGTGAATAGTACAACTTCTTCTAGTACTAGCCTCCAACAGCAACAGGACCAGTTGGACGATTTGCAACAGAAATTGCAGGAAAAAACGAGTGAAAACGAGCAAATCAAGGAGAAAGCAAGGAGCAAAATCGGGGAATTAACGGAGGAAGTGGAGACGGTGAAACAAAAGGCGCGCGAGAGGATAGAGCAGGACAGCACGAAGATTGTGGACCTGGAGCAGAAACTGGCAGCAGCGTCTGCTGATAGCAGCAGTAGCAGTTCCTCCCTCGACGAGATCAAGCGAAAATCGGACGAGCAGATAGCCGAATTAATGGCGGAGTTGCAGAAACTAAAAAACGAATCGGCGCAAGAAAAGCAGCAAGCCGACGAGCTTTTGCAGGCCACGAAGCAGCGCTTGGAGGAACTGCAAGCGCAGTCACAGACCGCAGCGTCGGAACTTTCTATGGACTGTAATAAGTTGTACTATATCGTACTGAGATAGTTGGAATTGCATTACAAATTTGCTCAGCATTTTTGCGAAATGAAATTTCAATTTGTAATGCTATTTTACCTATAGGAACGAAGGACATTTGTGATGCATATCTGCAATTCCAATTGTGCTACGAGTGCGATGCTTTTGTTATGCATACTTTCCAGCGAATTGCAGCAGCAGCTGAACTATCAAATGCAAAAGTGTCTGGGTCTGGAAGGATGCAAGGTTTGTCATGTACATTTTGCATGACCCATGGTGCTTGTAATGCATGAGCTAGCATCACAGAGTTTTAGCAAGCATCCTGATGCCTATTCCGCATGACAAATGCCCCTCTCGCGTAGCACAAACTGGACTCCTCTTCCTATTCATGCAATACAAATTTCTTTAGGATCCGAAGACAGCATCACAAGTTCCATCCTTCCAGACCCAGACATATTTGCAATGCATATGAACGACAAGCAGCAGGAGGTGGACACCATCAAGGAGAAGGCTAAGCAGAGGATAACCGACTTGACCGAGGAAATCGAGCAGACGAAGGAGAAAGCCCGCGAAAAAATCCAGCAAGACGCCACGCGGATTCAGGAACTGACCGCGGAATTGGAAGCCGCGAAGGAGAAGGTGGTTTCCTCGGACACGGACAGCAGCCTGCAGAAATATCCTGTGCAAAAGTATCGCACTCGTCGTCATTGCATTTATGCATTACAAAACTCCATCCCAAGGTAAAACAGAATGACAAATTCCATTTGTCATGCTGAGGTAATTTGTAATGCAATTGCTACAAGTGCGATTAAATTATACTTTTGCTATGCATAAGAAATCCGAACTGGCCATGCTGCAGCAGGGGAAACAAGATCTGGAACAGAAACTCGCGACCCTGACGACAAAGATGGAGGAAGCGCAAAACGAAGCAACAGGCAAGCTCGCGGAGCTGCAGGCCGCATTGGCCGCGAAAGACGAGGCGCTACAGCAGGCCGTCGCCGCACAAAGCTCCTCCGCGGAAGAAGTAAGTGCGCAGTTGGCCGAGAAAAGTGCCGCAGTTGAGCAGAATATTGACAGGAAAAATCCCCTCACCCCATATCAAAACGAAGTTTCTGATGCTGGATTTCCGTACACAGATCAGAGCTGTCTTGCAGTAGAGGACTGCAGGCAGATGCCGTGCCTGAGTACAGAGCTTCTGACGTGTACGCTTAGCATCACAAATGTCTATGCTTTAGCCCAAGCAGCATCACAAACCGCCCGCATAATGCGGCGGAGACTGTAGAGTTGCCTTCTTGCAAAACAAAAAGATTTGTGGTCACAAATCAGCATTACAAATTTTCTGAGAAGTACCTTTTTGATAGGGGGAGGGAGGATTTTCCTTGGGATACAGAAAGAGCACGAATTAGAGGAGTTGAAGCAGAAAGCCAAGGGGAAAATCTCTGAGCTGAGCGAAGAGCTGGAACAGGTGAAGCAGAAGGCAAGAGAAAGGATCGAGCAAGACGCAGGTAAACTGCAACAGGCGGAAGAGGATTTAGAGAGTACGAATTGCAAAAGTAGATCGTACTAGTAGAAATCGCATGACAAATTTCCTCAGCATGAGAAATGGAAGTTGTCATGCATATTTACCTTGGGAACGAGATTTGTGATGCATGACTGCGATTACAACTACGGGCACGACACTTTTGCAGTGGATAGAAAAGTTGAAACAAGAACTCGCCGCGAAGGACGATCAAGCGTCCGCCGCAACTGCGACCGTGGAGGGGCAACTCTCTGAGAAATCAGAACTTTTGCGGCACCTGGAGGAAAAGCTTGAGAAGGAAGAAGAGAAAGCAGCCGAACTAAAAGCAGAAAATGCGGATTTGTCCCAGAAACTCGACGACCTGGCGACGGCAAACGAGCAGAGCCGGGCGTTACAGGAATCCGGTTTGAAGGAAAAGATCGAGGAAGTGACACAACAGCTGGAGCAGCGAGACGTGGAGTATCCTGTGCAAAAGTATCGTACTCGTATAAATGCATATACAAATTCCCTCAGCGTGAGAAATAAAATTTGTCATGCGGATTTACCTTAGAAAAAAATTTGTAATGCAAGATTTGCATTTGTGCGAGGCGATACTTTTGGAGTGCATATGGAGGTCGCCGAACTGAAGGAAAAAGCGAAGGCAAAGATTCTGGAATTGACGGATGAGTCCGAAACAATAAAACAGAAAGCGCGGGAGGCGCTGGAGCAAAAGAACGAGCAAATACAAACGTTGGAAGCGGAGATAAGTGCGGTAAAAGCGGAAGGGACGACGGCGACACAGGAACTGAAGGAGGAAATGGACCGAGTCCTGGAGACCAAAAAACAGGAGCTAGAGCAGGACTTCAGCACCCAAAAATCCGCGATCCAGCAAGAAAAAGCCGAGATGGAGGGCAAGTTAGAGGCTATGGAGGAGCAGCTTGAGAAGGTGAAAACGGAAATAGCGGCGAAAAACGGCACGATAAGTATCAAAAGCAAATATGTCTGGGTCTGGGAGATTGCGAAGCTTGTCATGCTAAGTACTCTGGCATGACTCTGGATTCTGTGTTGCGTGGGCGCACAGAGCTCCTCTTGCCTGTCATGCAAGAACGCAGTTTCTCATGCGCAGTACGCAACTCAGAACCACGGAAACGAAAACTTGTCATGCTGGGCAGCGCATTACAGTGCTTCACTATTCCCTTTCTTGCATCACAAGTTTCCAGACCCAGACATATTTGCATTTGATAATAAGCGAGCTGGAACAAAAAGTCGAGAATTTTGAGAAAACGGGGTCGCATGCCAGCAGTCGGGTGAGTGAATTATATCCTGAGTAAAACCTACGTCCCCACCTCCCCAGAGCTGTGTTGCAAATCTGCATTTGCTCAGAACATCTGTCATGCTGGTCCACCGCATGTTGGCGGGCATTTCCATTCTCCAATCGTGTTTGGCAATTTATTGTCATGCGCGAATCACGATAAGAGACCGGATTTGTGATGCGTCCGGGCTATTATACCTATGCAAGACTATGTTACGTCCAGAAACTTGTCATGCGCCAGCGCCAAAACTTCAACTTGTGGATTTGTCTAGCAGATTTTTTTTTCCATCTTGATAGATTATGGGGAGGTGGGGACATTTTTACTCAGGATAAATTAGAAAACGAACTCAAGGAGAAAGAGGACGAGACAGAGGAGATCAAGCAGAAAGCTACGCAAGAAAAAAACTGTGTAAGTGTAAATCTGTGATGCAGAAAATGGAAAACAGTTTACACTTGTCATGCTTGACATGCATGATCGGCTCGCTTCGTAGGTGTTTTCCCTTCCTATCTGCGCATCACAAGTTTTTCCTGTCATGGCAGACAAACTTGTGATGCTGTTTTCCCAAAAGACAACACTAACACAGTTTTTTTCTTGCATAAAAGCGCGGGAGCGAATAGAAGAAATGTCCACCGCGAATGAGGAAATTAAGGTACTCTAGTACGTTGTGGTTTTTTTTTGTCATGCAGCACAAGCAGCGGGGCTAGCACGGAGTCATTCTTTACAGGATCACTTCTTTACCATGCAGAGTGACATTAGACACGACGGCGCTCAGCACACTGCCTTATCTAACAGGACATCTCCGCCTATTGTCACCTCGTGAATGCTGTTATGCTGCATGGTGTACCACGTAACAAAGATACCATACTGAAAGCACATGCACGACAAGGGCTGAGCCGCATGATTTCTTGTGTGGTGCAGAAAGATTTTTATCACGTGTAGACGCAACGTATTAAAACTACCCTGAAATTATAAACTACAGGCTAAAGCGCGGGAAGCCCTGGAGCGGAAAGAGCAGGAACTTGATGAGATGCGGGGAGAGAACGAAACCTTCAAACAGCGCGCAAAGGAAATGATAGAAAAATACAAGACGGAAATCGAGGAGTTAGAGAGCATATGAAGTGCAAAAGTAAAAGTATCGTTTACTACGTTGTATGAACTGCATTACAAATCAAGAGTAGCGCAACACATTGCCTTAGCATACCAGATTAGATTTGCAGTGCGGATTCGCCTTAAGAAAGAGATTTGTAATGCAGAAACGCGATTAAAAATACTACGAGTTTACGATGCTTTTGCGTTGCATACAGCAAGCAGACCAACGTGGAAGAGATACAGGTATTTTATCCTGTGCAAAAGTGTCGTACTCGTGGTAATCGCAATCATGCATGCGGAATCCTAGCATGACGGCGCTCTAGACCGAGGCTAGTCCAATGCACCGGGCTAGGATGGGTCGCAGTGCCCTGGACGTTTGGCGCGGCCTAGCGTGGGGCAAATCGTTTTGCTTTGTTTTTCCTCATGTTTTCCTCATGCACTACCCTAGTCCGGGCCTTGCGCGAGTTTGCGAAGCTAATTTTTGACATGCTAGGCCCAAACGCTGCGGCGGACTCGCCTAGGCTAGGACAGTGACCCGAGGCCGCCTAGCCTAGGGCGTAGAGCGCTAGTTTTTGCTTCTGTCCTGTTGGCTTTTCGTGTGCCAGCTTCGTTCTTGGGGGCCTTTCGGCAGATGCGCCGGCCTTCGGCGTTGCTTTGTCTGGTTGACGTTCAGGGGCCGGACCGCGCAAACCCAGGGACGCCGCACAGCGGGGCGGCAGGCCAAGGAATGGCGTGCGGCATGTTCTTGGCGCGGCCGGGCCATTGGGAACGCCCAAGCAAGACCCGAGCGGGCCCGTGCCTCTTTTCTTGCCTGCGAGTGTGTGCGCGCGGCATCGGTGCGGTGGCCCTGTCCCCCGGCGGGCGCAGGTCTGCCCCTGCCGCGTGTTGCTTGTGTTTCTTTGACCGCCAGGCCCCCGCACCAGGAGGCGCCCGCGCCTCCGACTGGGACCGTCGCCCGCGATGGCGCCGCCGAACTCGTCCCGCACGCAGCCCGCCGCGGCTGCTGTGAGTGTGTGGGCACCCCCCTAAGGCCCCACGCACCGGCCGGCGCAGGGCGCGCGGCGTTGCTTGGCTGTGGTGGCTGCGTTGCGCGGTGACCCCTGATGTGGCTACCCTCCGCCCCCCCCCCCCCCCCCATAACAGCACCCACCAGCACAGGCGGGCGCCGCCTACCTTGGTGGCTGTGCGTGGTTGTGTAAAAGCATGGGCCCGCGCCGGGGGCGGGCGCTTCCCTTCGCACGTTGTGAGGCCTGCGGGGGTGCCCGCTGCTTGTTTCCCCTGCGCCCAAAGGGGGCCCCCAGCCTTGGTGCCCCGCGCAATGTTGTGTTTGCTTGCGCGCCAGCACGTCGGCGCGCACTTTGTTCTTTTCCCCACGCCGGGCGCCCCAGTGTGATTAGATTCGGCTTCTCGCCTGAGCTATGTGGCGTTCCGTCTGCGTCTGAAAGCAAGCGCGCGGCTTTTTTTCGCAAGCTTGCAGCGCAGCTCTGTTGTCGCGTTTCTTTTTCGCGCGCTTCGGTCCATGGGCAGAGAAGCGCGCCGGCCCCCTCGTTCGTTGCTTGCTCATGCGTGACAATATTGCGCATCCTGATAGCCAAGCAGAAGTTTTTTGCCTTTGCTTTTTTATTTATTCGGTCCCATAGCGCTTGCTCTTGCTCTTTGACAACACAGCGACTCTGTTTCACGGCCATGACGTACACAAATACGCACTGCAAAACACAAAAAGCGCTGCAGTTTTGTGGCAGTCACCACCCTCGCGCAACTACCAGCGCCAGGCACTAGAGCAATTCCTGTTCTCTTTTGCGACTGCTTTTTGCTTCGGTTTTTCCCTCATCCGCTTGCGGGCCTAGCGTGTACTTATGTGTAAATGCCTAGGGTGGGTCCTGCGAGAGAGTTTGAAGCACTTGCATAATCCGTCATGCTCGGTCTTTTCTTTTGCAGTCTTGTATAAACATATTGAAATTCCCGTGCGAAGTGCGTGCTTCTCATGTTGCACACGCTAGGACAGCAATTTGCAAATTTTTACAACCATACTTTGTACCACTCTAGTCCATGACCCACCCTAGGACACTGCATGCATTACAAATCTCCATCTTAACCTAAATCCGCATTACAAATTCCATTTTTCATGCTGAGGGAATTCGTCATGCGATTTATACTAGTACGTGTACGATGCTTTTGCATTTCATATGCGCGCCGTGGTCCAGAGCATGCCAACTCTTTACCATAATCCGCATGAAAAATTTCTTCCATGATCTGTTTCTGCTGTAAATGCATCATGCCATGGGCATGACAAAGACGATAAAATTTTTTTGAATTTTTTCCACTTCATCAGGCCACGCTCCGACAGAAGCAGGTTCAGCTCGACGACATGGAGGCGAAAACTTTATCCACAGTAGTTGTATAAAACTCCTCCCGTACTGGTCACGTACAAAAAATGCTGGCTCTGCATGACAAAACACTTCATTTCCACATTCCTGATGTGGAGCATGACGAAGGTCATTTATCGAGTGGCAGTGAAAAAATCTGTGATGCATAGATATACGTGATGTTGTACGTGGTAAACAAATTTGTATTGCATAAACGACCCTGCAAGCCGACGAACTTCACAGCAAAGATGAGCAGATCGCAAAACTGCGGCACGAGAATCAATCGGAGCTGGAGCAACTGCGGTTATGCACTGCAAAAAATATGTCATCTGTGATGGAAGATTTGAATGACTGCATGATGCAACAAGAGCTTCTGGAAATGCGTGAATCAATAGGAGTGCACCTTAGCCTTTCATTTTCTGTCGCGCTGGATGCAGGTAGATTCGCTGGCTAATTGAAAACATTATATGAATTCGGACACTCGCAACAAGGAAGCCGAAGATGAAATCTTGTTTTGCTGCCATGATGTAGTTTCTGTGCAAGAAACGGCCCTCCTGTCATTCAAGAACCACCATGACCAGACCCAGACATATTTTTTGCTTTCGATAGCGGTCGCAAATAAGTGAATCAGATAACCGCTTTAGCTATGACATCGCATACAGTTTCCCAACCACCGCACCTCCTCCTCGCACCAGAGGCTCGTCAGAAACATTTGTGAAGAAAGTGCAGGCCCTGCATGACAAACTGATTTCATTTCGGGGCGATTGATGTAGTTTTGTTGGCTATTTGGTTTCCCTTTCCGTTTCAAAATAGTACTTATTCGGAACTACTGGGTCATGTTGTCATGCATGCAAGTGCTAGAAGATGAACCACAGGTAAAGATGAAGATAGAAACGAGGATGAAATCGTCATCTTCATTCTGCATTTTTACCAAGTTGAAGGAGGAGGCTACAAAGGAGGTACTGGGTTATTTGTGCACCTTCATACTCGCCTATCCAAGAAAAAAACTGTGTTAGTGTAACTTTCTTTGGCTGACAGCATCACAAGTTTGCTCTACATGACAGAGAAAACCTGTCACGCATGGCTTATAAGGGAAAACACAGCTGAAAAGAGGACTTCGTGGTTGTCTGGCATGACAGATGTAACTCTGTTGCATGTTCTCCATTACAAAGTTACACTTACACAGTTTTTTTCTTGCATATCGCCAATCCCAAGCGAGAATCCGCGACTTGGAGTCTTTTATGCATTGCAAAAGTACTTCTATCGTATCAGTTGCACTTCTAGTGGTAATTGCATTACAAAGTTGCTCACCATCTTCACAAATGGAATCTGTCAGCGTCACAAATGGAATGGAATTTGTCTTCATGATGATGTAGCTCCTTCAAGGAACTACCCTTCCCAAGGCTTGGGAAGAAGATTTGTAATGCATAGCTGCAATTAGTAGTACTCCCCGAGAGATCTGAAACGAGCACCGCCCGAGACTTTACTGGGTGAATATCTGAAACAGCTAAAAGATAACTCTTTTTGAATTTTTGCAGCGCGCGCAAGCTTGCGCTGCCGGGGGGCTTCGCCCTCCCCACGCTCGCGAAAGGTTTTGGACTTTACCCCGCCTCTTCGGCTTTTTCTTCCATTGCGTGCAGTGTAGCCTCGGCAGGCGATTCGTTAGTTTTCCCCGCCGCCGGCTCGCGTGCTGATGTGGGCGCCCTTGGGTTGTTTTCCGTTTTTTTTGTTGCTCGCGTGGCGCGGGTTTCCATGTCTGAGCTAAGGCGAGCGGCTCCGCGGTGTTTTGTGCTCTATATATTTTGCCGGGGCTTTTTGTGCCTTTTTGCTATTCTATGGCAGCAGGAACATGAACAACAGTCCGCCCCTGCAGTTGGCGCCCTTTTGTTCTTTTTCGTGTCGAAATTTTTGCCGCTGCTCTTTTTTTTTTTTCGTTAGTAAATATTGCCCCGCTAGCACATAGGATAGCCCGCGGCGCTTGTGCCTTTCCGTGCCTTTTGGTAGCGTGCCTGCCAGCGCAAACAACCGCGGGCCGTTTTCCGTGTTGCATTGGCTTTTGCCGTTTTTCTACTAGCTGCTCGAGCATGTTTGCCGCATTTTTGCACTGGCCCTCGCCGGTCTGTGCACTTCCCGGCCCCCTCCGCGTATTTTTGTGGGCCAAACCACGCTGCGCCGGTTGTCTGTGTTTTTCGCACTTTCCTTCCAGAGCTAGCGGCGCGACTGTTTCGCGTAAGTGCCCTGCATTAGCAACAAGCTAGGCTCTTCGTTGGTTTTCCATGTAATGTAATCCCGGAGGCCGGTTCGGCGTGTCAGCCAGCGGCCTGCTTCTTGGTGTGGGCATTTTTCTGATGTTTTTCGCTTTGCGCGCTGACCGCATGGCGTTTATCTTCATGCCCGGGCGCAGAGGAGTGACGCGGCAGCGTTTTGCGCTCCTTTTCTGCAAGTGTGCGGCTTTGTCTTTGTTATCCTTTTTGCGCTGCAGCGCCAGACCCGATTTACCAAGGAAGCACAAGAGGCGCCGCAGTTGCTAAGGTTCTGCGCTAAGGTTGGCGACGTTGTCCATGTTCTGCCTTCGTCTTCCTTTTTTGGTGTCTTTTCGCTGCTTTTTTGCCGTACTTCGCTCATTTTGTTGCGTTTTTGTGTCTTTTCGAGCTACGCGGAGCCTTTTCGGCGCATTTTCTTTGGGCCTAAAAACGAACAAACTGCCTGGGGATGATTATTCTCGCCGCCTTTTTGCCGTATTTCATTGGGTCACCCTGCCGCGCTTTTGCGCCTTTTGAAACTGAAGGAATGCTCTTTGACACATTTCGGCCCTCAGAGCGGCCAAACTGTCTGGAATTGGCCTGGCGGGTGCGATACATAGCGCCACCGCTCTACGGGCTTGCTTCTGCAAAATCACGGGCGCGCGCCTTGTTGCGCTTTTGTGTCTTTTTGGAGAATTTGCAAAGTGTTGCACTTTTTCGCCTATTTCGATGGCCTTGCGACGTTTTTGCCTTAGCTTGGGTCTTTTGGTACATTTGCACACTTTTCGAGCTAACTAAGTGAAGCCCATGGCCCACATGTGTCGCATTTGCGGCTTTTTGACTTAACAAGACCAGCTCTGCGCTGTTTTTCCTCGCATTTGGGTCCTTTTGCTGTGTTTTTGTGCTTTCCCACGATCATTTTGCTGCGTTTTTGGGCCTTTTTTGCTGATTTTTGCGGAATTTGAGCACTTTCGACACATTTCGGGCCTCAAAAAGTCCGAGCCGTCTGCTTTTGGCTTTACCCGTGGGTCATTGCCAGCGAACGCGCTGCAGCGCTTTGCAAAAACACCGGCGCCCGCTTTGGTCTGTTCTTGGCTGGTCGTGGTTAGTGTGCAAATGGTCGCACTTTCTTGCTTATTTTGATGGTTTTCCGACGTTTTTGTCTTAGTTTGCGTTTTTTTGGGCGTATGTGCACTTTCCAGGCCCAACTAGGTGAAGCCCACGGCCCGAATGTTGCGCGTTTTTGGCTTTTTGGCTTAACAAGAGCAATTTTGCTGCAAAATAGGACTACTTAACTGCCATCAAAGAGGCGCGCTCTTTCTTTACAAAGAGTGTGACCTCGTTGCCATCGGCACGCGGGTCGCCGTGGTTTGGGTTGTTTTTCGTTGGTGTGCAAAGTGTTGCGCTTTTGTGTTTATTTCGATGAATTTGCGTCCTTTTCTTCTAAGTTTTCGCTTTTTTGCGCATCTGCGCAATTTTTAGGATTAACTAGGTGAAGCCATCGTGCGCATTTTCGTCGTTTTTGTTCTTTTTGACTTAACAAGGCCACTTTTGCACTAAGATGATTTCACTTAGCTTCAAAAAGGTGCACTTTTACCTTAAGAAAATTGGCATTTTTTTTTGCATGTAATGCATGTTTGCAATACAAGTTAGAGACGATAGCGGTACTTTTGCAGTGGATATCTTTGGTGAAGATGCAACAGCAGAACCAGAAGAACGTATTCATGGATTTTGATAAGATGCGAGCAAGGGGTTAGTTTTGTTTGTCATGCAAGATTTCTCATGACGTACATGATTATTTCTCATGCGTGTATCTATGCCATCGCCATGTTGATGAGCTACATCAAAAAATTTCCGAATTGTACAGGAGCGCGAACAGGAGATTGAGGTGTCAAGGCTTCTCCACCTGTTGCTCGACGAATACTCCGGGGAGGTCATGCTCGGCGAGGAAAGAGGAACGCCCTTTAACCTGTGTAAAAGTACTACCGTACTACAACTCGTAGTACAACTTGTGGCAGTCCTGCATTACAAATCTTTGTCTGCAAGTAAAAAATCCGCATGACAAATCCCATAATTTCCCATTATGCTGAGGAAATTTGTAATGCAATTCCTGCTAGTACTGCGTGTACCACGATAGTACTTTTACAATCCATACCTTATCTGCAGCAGCTAGGCCGCATTATTGAAGAAACGGTGTCGATACACCAGAGACAAGGTACGAAAATGCCTATGATGCGTTCCTATGCATGACAGGTTTGTGTTGTATTGGGTTCCTATGCATGACAGGTTTGTGTTGTATTGGGTTCCTATGCATGACAGGTTTGTGTTGTATTGGGTTCTACTCCTACATCAGAAATCACAAACAAAAATTATCATGAAAAATCCTCCAGTGATCGAAACGCGGCAAGTTTCCGGGGCTCGCGACCAACTCCGGCAGGAGAACCTGAAACTAACCTTATCCTGTGCAAAAGTTCAAATATCGATAAAACTGGATAATTCTAGGTCGAGATCGAGCTGCAGACCACTTCTAGGTCGACATGCATAGGCGCATACAACTTCTAGGTTACATACTTCATCTAGGTCGACGTCGTGTGGTTTTCTCCTACTAGGAGAAGTACCTGAAGTACTAGCATTGAATTTTTTATATAAATTCCATTGATAACTTATTCAATCATGCCGAGCAGGAATCAACAAAATTTGTCATGCAAAAATTCTTTCACTAGTATCGTATTTACTTTTGCAGAGGATACAGGCGGGACGTGAATGATTTGCAGCGGGAGTTGGCGAATTCGGGGTTTTTCGCGACGGTGTCCAAGGTCGGCTATGAGAGCTCACAACTCCCCCTGTTCCCCCCGAGCTGTACCATCCGAAATGAGCAGCAATACAAACGCCACCACATGTGGAGCCTGTGCATGACAAAGTCATGCGCACCCTCGTGTAGAAGTACTGTTTGGGCCTGCTCCGGATGAATCTGTCATGCAAACAGTGCCACAGGGAAGCGAAGGAAGCACTTGGATTTGATGGGGTGTAGTTGCATGACATCAAACCAGGGGGAGCAGGGGGAGTTGTGCACTCCCATATCGGCAACGCGGTGTTCTCGAGGTGTCCCGGGCGGGGAGGCGCTGGGGGACACAAAAAACAGTATCCTGTGCAAAAGTATCGCACGTAGCATAAATTGCATTACAAATTAGGTTAGCCTAACAGATGGACTCTGTAATGCTGTTTTTGCTAAGGAAGGCGATTTGTCATGCATATTTGCCATTAGTTCGAGTGCGATACTTTTGCAACTGATAAACACGACGGGCTGCCAATTTCGAACTTCCACGACACGCGCGAGGATTTATAGCACAAGAAACTACAACTCCGGCTGCTTCATTCGCATGTGGAGATACTGACCCTAATTTGTGCTGGGAGGACGCGGTCCTCTATATATCCTCTATATGGAGTTTTTGGTGTACATCATCACACATGGAAGTACCCTCTTCACCATACTGTAGTACCCAAAGAAGTTCAAAGCCTTCTCGTTCTTCTTCCAAGTAACTCTTTTTCCTACAATTCTTTCGCTACTACTTTTCGCACGGCGAGGCCGAGGGCTATCTTCCTCTGATCTGCGCCGCGATAGTTGGTACTGTGCAAAAAATCCCCCACAGCAAAAAATCAATCTGATGAATTCGACGCATTTTGATATTTACCTCACGGCACGACCGGAAGCTGTTGGCATTGTCTGTCTTCTTTATTCATGTATTAAGTCTCACCCGAAACCGAATTGATGATTTATCAACCTAGTAAGCTCACCTCAAGCTGTACTAGGCCGTGCTGTTGTTGCCCGAGGACCCACGTCTTTCGCAGCTTGGGTAGACGATTCACGTCCAGCACATCAGCAGGTATCAAATGTAAAAATGTCTGGGTCTGGAAGATTCTGAGACTTGTCATGCATGTTTTGCATGACCAAGGATGTCTGTAATGCACGACCTAGCATCCCAGATTTTTAGAGGGCTTCCTGATGCCTACTCCGCATGACAAACGCCCTTCCCGCTTAGCACAAATCAGACTCCTCTTGCTGGTCATGCAATACAGATTTTTTTTACCTTCCAAAGACAGCATCACAAGTTGCAACCTTCCAGACCCAGACACTTTTACATTTGATAGCAGGCGCCAGCTACTTAGACTTACCGAGTTTCACTTCTAGTACACGTAAACGCAATTTCAAAGAAAATTCGCTTCCCACTGTGGTCCCTGTCGGGTGCAGCAGCATGGGACTACTTAAGCACTTAGATGCGGTTCTACTCCTCGCATCGTCTTGGAATTTATTTCCTTCTTTCGGAAATGAACTGATGATCATGAATTTCCTACCTGTAGTTATGCTGTAGTTGTGGAAAGAAATCAAAATTCGAAAATCAAAATGTGGTCTTACCGTTGGACGAGCAAAAATGTTGTACCAAAAACTGATACTGACAAATGAATTTTTACAACATGTATCAAAACGGAACTAGTACAACGACCCATCTTCTCAATTCAGAGTCATGAAGCGAAACAACCAAGGAAGGTAGTAGCTTCATCGCTGCGGCGGCTGCTCTACTATTTCTTGTACTCGACTCAGGTGATTTCTGATATTTCTGGTCTGCTATAGTGCCAAGGAGAATGAAGGACTGTCTCGCGGTCCTATGGTCTGGTCGTGATGTAGTTCTGTTGCGACGCCGCGATGGATCGAAGTCACGCTCTTTTTCGAGTGGAGAAAAAAATCAAGATCATTAGCCCGTATGAATTGTCGAGGTTCATCATCAATTTTTTTACTTTGTTCAGCACTGAAAATATCGGTAGGTGAGGATCTTGCACCATTTGGTGTTGTACAACAGTGCATAAATGAAACGGATCACAAATAAACGAGGACCCAGAGCCAGAAATTCTTGTTGACACGCAAAAATAAAACGCAAATGTTCATCTCGGCAGATCTGGATCTTGTGTTTTGGACCAGGGCCTCTTGTTCCTCTACGCGTTCAATAATGCGAAGATTGTGATTGGCCCAACCTCAAAGTGAAAATGATTTGTAATGCAAAAAAACGACTCCAGTTGGAGCACCATTTGTAGTCGGCGCATGACAAATTTCCCGGGCACTCAAAACGTGTCTGTCATGCTAGTTAGGCAAAGGGATGCCCTCCTCTCATGCTAATCAGGAGCCCAATTCTGAACCCGTAGAAGCGCAATAGTCGGCCTCCGTTGCGTTCTCTGCAATGCAGTCTTTTTGGTGTCGCATTTCATGCATCACAAATTATTTCCACTTTAAGGATTTCCATTCTGAGGGTGTCATAACACATTCTTCTACTCTAGGTCAACCGCTCCTCCAGGATAAATTGGTTCGACGGCTCCTGAAATATGTTAAGATCCTTAAACAAGATGACACACCATCAACGACATGGACGAGCAGTAGCTGATGATTTATTGTCCATTTGATTTCAATCTCAATCTCAATTGATGTCATCACGACGACCACAGGCCTGAAGCTACTTGATAGAAACGGTCTTGACGACGTAGTTGAGGATTATATATATAGTGGCATTAGTCTATTTCTACTTCTAGTTCTACACAATTGCTATTAGTACACGACACGGTGAAGAGGACTACTTACTTTTGCTCTACTAGTGTTCACCGAGCCGTGCTGTCACTTTTTCCTTGAGCAGCAAGAAGTACTAGAATTGATAAGAATGAAGCGTTCCCGACAGAATGCGGGTCACGACGAGGACCAGGTCTCCTTCGTGAACAACGACACAGCTCCGGCCCAAAACGACGTCGACATGATCGATGTAAATTTCGAGTTATGCTGTGCAAAAGTATCGTACTCGTATAAATGCAGGTCTTGCATTACAAATTTCTTTGTCAAGGCAAATCAGCATTACAAATTTTATTTCTCATGCTGAGGAAATTTGTAATGCATTTATACAAGTATCGGATACTTTTGCAGTTCATACGAGTTCTACGAACCCTTCGAAACCGACTTCCACGGGGTCCGGCTATGCATTGCAAAAGTATCGTACTCGTATAAATGCATTACAAATTTCCTCAGCATGAGAGATAAAATTTGTAATGCAGATTGAGCTTAAGAAAGGGATTTGTAATGCATGATTGCAATACGAGTACGATACTTTTGCACAGGATACCGGCAGCTTCTGAACAAATCCTTCGAGTTATTACAATGAAAAATGCCCCCTCCCCATATCAAAAAGAAAATCTGTGATGCAGATTTGTGGTTACAAATCAGCTTGGTGTTGCTAGAAGGCAAAAGATGCGGACTGAAGTGCTGCCTAGCGTGGGAAGGCCGTGCTGCTCCAGCAGGACAGGAGGCAACTGGAAGTGGGAAACAGCATGACAGATTGCCTGCAATTCAGCCCGCAGCTGCGTCTACTCTTGCTGGCTTTCTAGCAATACAAGTCGAGTTGTGTACTCAAATACAGCATCACAAATTGCGTTTCCGATATGGGGTGGAGGCTTTTTTCCCTAGGATACGAGTGGTGCAAGACGGATCCCATTTTCGATTTGACGGAAGTGACGGACGTGTGCTTATCAACTGTAAAAATGTCTAGGTCTGGAAGATTGCCAGGTCTGTCATGCATATTTTGAATGACCCATGATGTCTGTGATGCATGCCCTAGCATCACAGATTTTTAGAGGACCTTTTGATGCCTCTACCGGATGAGAAACGCCCACTCCGCGTAGCACAAACTGAACTCCTCTTGCTGGTCATGCAATACAGATTTTTTTACCTTCCAAAGACAGCATCACAAGTTGCAACCTTCCAGACCCAGACATTTTTGCATTCGATAATGCTGCAACCAGGGCAACATCGGAACGGTGTTGAAGACTACGGATCAACTATCAAACGAAAAAAGTTCGTCACGATCACGCGTGCGCACTTTTGCAATACAAAATTTTCTGGCATGCGTAAAAATGCATCACAGGCAAACTTCATAAGGGATTTCCCTAGACGAGTTTCTGCAAAGGACGGAAAAGCTCAAGCTGTGATGCTAAAAGAATTTGTAGTGCAAGTTCGTGACTGCGGCAAACTTTTTTCTCTCCATATCAACAGGCGGGCGCTGGCGAACAACAGATACAAGGTGGCGGCAAAACTGCTTCTGGCGAGCAAAACAACAATCTTTCCTCTTCCGCCGGCGCGGCCGCGGCTGGCGCGGCCGGGGGCAGGGGAGCAACGACCACGACGCCACAGGAAACGGGTTTATTCGGCATCACGACTGCAGTGAATCTGAAGCAGTACAAGTCCTCATTCACCTATCAAACAAGAAAAAGTTCGTCGCGATCACTCGCCATTTTTTGCAATATTACAAACAGGAAAAGCGCTGTCATGCGGAAAAATGCATCTTCACAGTGAAATGACTTCGTGACGGATTTCATCTCTTGCGTTTGTGCAAAAATACAAGAAAAATAACGACTTGTGAAGTAGATGCCAGAAAAAAATTTCTCATGCAAAACCTGCAGTTCAGTGATCGTATGACGAACTTTTCTCACTCCATATCACCTCCAGTTTTCCCAGTATGAAGCGGTTCATGAAGAGCCACCTCGTGGCGAAGGGAGAAGAGGTATGCATTGCAAGCATGTCTGGGTCTGGAAGATGAATGCAAGTTTGTCATGCTTGTCCCGCATGTTGCCTTTTAATAAATCGGTAATGCAGGAGCAGGAAAAAAAACCTATCGGTATTGCCTGTCATGCAAAAATGCAGTTTGCTATACGGACGAAAGCGAAACTACTCCTAAATAAAAGCTCCAAAACTTGACATGCCCATGCGTAGATGCGTAGTGCAGGAGCGTGCCCTCCGCTCACAAACTAAGTCGCATCACTTTTTTCCAGAGGACCCACACATATTTGCAGTGGATAGGAGATGGTGCTGCGAGAGCCGCAAGAGAGTACTACCAGCGAGCGGACTGTCAAAGTTGAAGACCTGTTTGAGAAATTCAACACTGGATTATCCTTTGCAAAAGTATCGTACTCGTAGTAAAAATTGCAGCCATGCATTACAAATCTTTTTATCAAGGCAAAGCCGCATTACAAATTCGATTTCTCATGCTAAGGAAATTTGTATTGCAATTTATACAACAAGTATCGGATACTTTTGCACAGGACATGGATTTTTGATCAACGAAAGGCTAATCAACCTCCCGGAGGAAGTCGCCCCGCCGCTACACTCGGTACTGATTACAACAACTGTTGTTTGTGATGCATGATAAGCTAGATCTGTGATGCTGCTGAACTACCTAAACAGGATTTTTACACTACGCGGGCAAACTTGTCATGCGAAACAACCAAAACTGGCTGATTTGTCTAGCAGATGTCCCATCATGACGATATTATTACTAACATCAGCACCTGGAGACCGCCATCCATTGGTCGCAGACGACGCCGGAGTGCCCGGAAGACGAGCGGCCCTTTTTATGCATTGCAAAAGTATCGTACAACTCGTAGTAAAATCGCAATTCTGCATGACAAATCCCTTTCTCAAGGTAAATCAGCATGAGAAATTCCGTTTGTAATGCTGAGCGAATTTGTAATGCGATTACTACTAGTTCTAGTACGATGCTTTTGCATTTGATACTTTTACTTTTTCGACTATTTTCTCGGCATCGCCAAGGCGTTCAAGGATTCCTACGGCACGGTTTATCCTGATTAAAAAAGTCCCCACACCAGAGTCAAGATGGGGATTTTGCAACACAAACCTAGGAGTTTTAGGAGTCACGCATGACAAGTCTCAGTCCGTAAGGTAGTGCAAGTTAGCAAGGAAAGCCGCATCACAAATCGACCTTCTGATCCGGTTTACAGCATCACAAATTCCAAAACACGATTGGAAATGGCTCTCATGGTGATGCGCATTACAAGTCTTCCTGTCTTTGCAAATCTGCATTACAACTCTGGTGTGGGTACGTTTTTACCCAGGATACAGTTTATCCAAACTTCGAAGAGGAAGAGTATGTCAAAAACAGCTGCTTCCACAAGGAAATCGCCATTGGGCAGCTGGTGATATCAAATGCAAAAGTGTCTGGGTCTGGAAACTTGTGATGCTGGGTGGCGTCTCATGATGAGGCCACAAATGCTGGCTCAGCATGACAAGTTTCTGAGCTTCTAGGTGTTGCCTATTCTGCATGACAAACTGCGTTCCTGCATCACAGAAAAATGGAGCTCTTGTGTAACGTGCATGACAGATTTCAGAGTCATGCCAGACAAGCATGACAAACATGCATTCTTCCAGACCCAGACATTTTTGCACAGGATAGGTGATGCAGCAAAACAATTCATCTTCTCGGGGGACATCTTATGCACTGCAAAAGTATCTTAATCGTATAAATGCTAAAATGCATTACAAATTTCCTCAGCATGTTGATGAGAAATGAAATTTGTAATGCTGATTTACCTTTAAGAAAAAGATTTGCAATGCAGGATCGCACAAATTATACGAGTGCGATGTTTTTGCAGTGCATACAACTGCGGGCCCCGACGCGACAACCGTGAAGGAGAACGAGTACCGGGTGGTGTATTTGGTCAGCAACAAGACGTTTATGGAGAAAATTATGCCCCTTTTTCGGGAAGAGAAATGAGTTTGGGCCGGTAGTGCAGCGAGTAGGAGTACCTCCCGAGGACGAAGATCAGTTCTCGTCATGCAGTTCTTGTCCATGTCATCTATGCAGACACAGAGTCATAGAAAGACAAACAGGTTTAGGTTTTCGACGGTGCAATATAGACGCCGCTGTTAAAAGAGCAGGGCTGCTTGTTGGAGGGGATCCTCTGGGTCTTGATTTGCACCAGCTGCAGAGGGTGCAGGCAATAGAAAAAGAAGCATGTATTCAACGAAAGCCAGCACGATTTGCTTTCTTGCACCTCCATAGATGTTGAGGAACAAGGCTCTTTATCACTTCTGCCTAGTCCTTGTACAAAATCAAAACTCGAAAGAGGGCTACACGGAAATAAGTAAATGACAAGCGTCTAATATGCTGTGACCACAGCGGCCATTATGCTTCGTGAAGAGGAGCTCCGCTGTTCAGTGAACAAAAGCAACAGCAGACAGTATTTCGCTTCCGACGTGTAGAAAGTTGCGGAAAAATATGGGAGTGTCAGGATCGAAATCGTCAGAGTTGAAATAATTTGCGATGCATAAAACGGATACCAGTAGGCGCCTAGTTTTCAAGTGGCGCATAACAAATCTTGGTGGTGCCTAACTCCAGTTTGTAATGCTGTTTGGGTAAGGAAGACGCCTTTTGTCATGCTACTGTAGCAGCTCTATTTTTACCCCTCAACAGGCTTACAATCTGCCTCCCTTGCGTACTCTGCAAGATAGGCACTCTGTGGGTTGCATTTTATGCATCACAAACTATTTCAACTTTGACGATTTCAGTCCTGACGCTTCCATAAAAAAGCCAATACTTAATACTTATGGCTAGCGTTTTCTTTCTCGGTTCCAAAGAAGTCCTCTGCTCGGCTTGAACATCCTCGTGGACCACGAGGATGTTCAAGCCGAGCAGACGTCGTGGTGAAAAAATATAAAATACTTAAAAATGGTGTGCTTCGTCATAAGTACTTAATTAAATGGAGGTAATTCAGCACCACCAGCCCCTCGGTTCTTCTAAATCTAAAAAGTGCATTCGGTTTCTGATTCTGGCAGCTGGGCTTCAGATTTTGGAGGCACGAGAATTTTGGAGGTTGGGCCGATAATTTTGGAGGTTGGGAATTTGAAAAAAACCCAGCGCTACTACAACAACGGCACCGTGTACACGGACGAGGACTGGCTCTACGTGTACGGGGTGTTCTTCTCCGTGTGCTGCGCGATTTTTTTCGGTATCAAATGTAAAAATGTCTGGGTCGGGAAGATTCTGAGATTTGTCATGCATATTTTCCATGACCCAGGATGTCAGTCTGTGATGCATGCCGTAGCATCACAGATTTTTAGAGCGCTTCCTCATGCCTATTCCGCATGACAAATGCCATCTCCGCGGAGCACAAAATCTACTCCTCTTACTGGTCATGCAATACAAATCTTTTTCGAATCCAGAGACAGCATCACAAGTTTAGATGCTTCCAGACCCAGACATTTTTACATTTGATATTCGGGCTGCTGTGCCGCCGGGCCGCGGAGCCGCTCGGCTGGTGGCTGGCGATCGGGAACAATTTGTGTTACCTATCAAAAGGAAAAATCCCCCTCCCCATATTGAAATGGAAACTTCTGTTGCTGGATTTGTGTACACAAATCAGGTTTTTCTTGCTGGAGAGGCCTGCAGAGGACACATATCAAGTCTGAGTAGACAGTCTTTGGCCTAGGCGCTTAGCATGGCAGGCGTCTACGCTGTAGGAGCAAGAGCACGACAAACCGCCTGTAGAATGCGGCGGTTGTCTGTGGGGTTGCCTTCATGCAACACAGAGGCCATTTGTGGTCACAAATCAGCAACACAAATTTTCGAAAACGTACCTGGTCAATATGGGGAGGGGGGACTTTTCCTCACAACATTACCGGATGTGGAGCAACGGTGGGGAGGAGTGGATGACTGCGTTTTTCAAGCGCAACTCGTTTCTGAAGAAGAATGTGGCGAAGTTCGATTTTGGCGGCGAGAAAAATACGGAGGACAACGAGCACCTGTTGCACATGCTGCAGTTCAGTATCTTCTACGCGGCGTGCTTCCTCGGGTGGCATTATTTGATTCCCTGGGGCGGAGCTGGGTCTGGGCGCGCGCGGTTCTTTATCAAATGCAAAAAGGTCTGGGTCTGGAAGAATGCAGCTTGTGATGCTGCATTTGGATTCCAAAAAAATCTGTATTGCATGAGCAGCAAAGGGAGCGCATTTTTTGCTACGCGGTAGTAGGGGCATTTGTCATGCCAAATAGGCATCAAGAAGCCCTCAAAAAAGGCGTGATGCTAGAGCATGCATCACAGACATCATGGCTCATGCAACACGTGCATGACAAGTCTCAGAATCTTGCAGACCCAGACATGTTTACAGTTCATATTCTTCCGGTCCAAGCGATCGGTGCAGCAGGAGGAGATGCTGGTCACGCTGGAAAACGCCGTGGAGAATATCAAATGCAAAAATGTCTGGGTCTGGAAGATTGCGAGATTTGTCATGCTGATCTGGCATGGCCCATAAATCTGTATTGCGTGGCCACAAACAGCCTCTCTCGCCTGTCGTGCAAAAACGCAGTTTCTCATGCGGAATATGCAGCACAGAAGCACGAAGCAACTTGTCATGCTTGGCGGCGCATTACAGTGCATTTCTTATTGACTGACTTGCATCACAAGTTTCCAGGCCCAGACATTTTTGCATTCGACAGAGAACGAGGTGATGCGAAGATACGGGCTGAGGGAAGAGGAAAATTTTCAGCAAGACGGTGGAAGTCACACGTTACCCGGCGTGGACGAGCGGCTGTCCGGGACGCGAAATGCGGTCGACGCGTGTTGCGCGAAAGAAAGGCTGAACAGCACCTCTTGCACATCAGAGGAGAACGACAGCAGTACTACAGCAACCCTTGGTGGACCACTCGCAACGAAATGCACGGCGAGCGTGTTCGGAGCTCCTGGTGCCACGTCGTCCTCCACAGAAGACGGGTCGTTTGGCGATACCTGGTTCCAGCAACAGCTCGAGAAACATATGGGTTGTAAAAATGTCTGGGTCTGGAAACTTGTGATGCAAGGAAGAGAATAGTGCGCTCACTGTAATGCGCCGCCAAGCATGACAAGTTTTTTTCATGGTTCTGAGGTGCGTATTCCGCATGAGAAACTGCGTTTTTGCAACACAGGGAGGAGGAGCTCTTTGCGGCCACGCAACACAGAGTACAGAGTCATGCCAGATTAGCATGACAAGTCTCGCAATCTTCCAGACCCAGACACTTTTACATTTGATAAAACAGCGCCACCAGCGAATGCTGGATGAGGAGTCGGAGGACGAAGAAGTCAGTATCAAAAGGAAAAATCCCCCCTCCCCATATCAAAACGGAAATCTGTGGTGCAGATTTGTGGTCACAAATCAGGTCTGTCTTGCAGTAGAGGACTGCAGGCCCATGACAAAAGTCCATGCTGTAGGCCCAACAGCATCACAAACCGCCGGTATAATGCGGGGGGCCTTGTGGGTTTGCCTTCTTGCGAGACAGACGCGATTTGTGGCCACAAATCAGCATCACAAACTTCCGAAAGTATACCTTTTCGGTATGGGGAGGGGGGATTTTTCCTTGTGATAGTCAGCAGTGCGGAAGGGTCTGAAAAGGGTGATGATGCTGAACAAGATAATATGAGTCCCTGCAAGCGTGTATCATTTGTAAAAGAAACGTCACCACCCCATAGTTGTAATGCAATTCTGCATGTTGAAGATGTTTCTGATGCGGAGCCCCATGTTGAGAGGCAGTTTGTAGTCGGGTTTCGGAATTTGTCATGCTCCAAATCCAATCAGCATGATGCGCTAGATTTGTGATGCTGGTGAACTAGGTATTAAACAGGATTACTTACCCTACGAGGCCAGACTTGTCTTCATGCGCAACAACCAAGGCTTATGGATTTGTCTAGCAAATTTCCCACCTTGATGACTGTGGGGTGGGGACGTTTTTACACGGGATAGCGTGATCGCAGCCCCAAGCAGAGTCCCTCGCGAAGGAGAAACCAGACGGGGAACAGTATCAAAAGGAAAAATCCCCCCACCCCATATCAAAACGAAGTTTGTGATGCTGGATTTGCGTACACAAATCAGCTTTGTATTGCAGGAGGGCATTGCGGCCAGATCCCCAGGCTAGGTAGGGGCGTACGGGTCTAGGTGCTCAGCATAGCAAACGGCTCCCCTTTAGAGGGCCCATCAGCATGACAAATCGCTTCCAGAATGGGGCGGAAGCTTCTGCCCTTGTCTTCTTGCAAGACAAATGTGATTTGTGGCCTCAAATCAGCAACGCAAATTTTCGGAAGCATACCTTTTCGATATGGGGAGGGGGATCTTTCCTCTCAATAGGCAGCAGCTCGCTCAGTCCTCCGGTGGAAAAGGGTAGAGGCAGAAACCACAAGGAAGCGGATCAGGTGCAGACTGCTTCTTCCGCCGACTACCCAGTTTTGGAATGGAAGCACATTCTGCAGGATATCAAGGAGGGCAACGGTTACTACGACCCGGCTACGGGCGGAGGGAATTCCGGGTCGGGAAAGAATCAAAAAATCGCCGGTGGTGCTGGTGCCGAGGTGGAGATGATTGAGGAACAATTTTTCGCCGCGGGGAATGATAGTCATAGCAGTGTAATGAATGCGGACGAGGATGAGGAGATCGATTGACCGACTTCTGCTTACCCGGTGCTAGTAGCACTTCCTATGCTATACCAGAGCACCTATCTAGGATAACATTGGGGGATAGGAAATCAGACCGAAGATTTATTGAGCCAGGAGATTTCTGGCATTCGAACTGTGCAAAAAAAAAAAAAAACATGAGCTGTCGAAGAATATTACGCGAATCTAGGTGGAGGTGGAGCAGAGTCTTATTTGCAGCTACCCTTTTGATTTGTGAATTACTCCGATCATGATAGGACGCTTTCCAACCACTGCTCTTATTTGGCTATTGAACTTGGGTTTTTATCGCGACTGAAGAAAATTTTTCACGATATTAATAACAGCGACAGATACAGCTTACAACCGAGACTGACGACGGGAGTATAAAACCTTTACGTACTCTTCAGAAGAACTGCACTCAATTTTTCAAAAAACAAAGAACTCGACTGATTGCTCATTTCTGATTCCTTGCCACGATTTATCGGGCAACAACTGCGCAAATGGTGATGTTGACGAAAAAACTCGGGTTACTTAATGCGACGTAAGTAGCAACGCAAAGATTTGTTTGCATTTTCCAAAGATTTCTGGTACTACACAGTTTTACAGATACAGGTCTACTTGTTGCGAAATTTTCATCAGACCAGGATCGATTGAGCTTATTTGTTTGAAAAACTGCAGAAACTGAATCTGAAACGCGAGCGTGTTTGTCACGACAAAATGATAACGAGCAAAGGCACTGCTTCTTCCTGCACTGTACACCGGGCACCCATTATCTAGCTGTAGAAAAAAAGCTTCTCGTAGAGGGCGGTTCCGTGTGCTAAGTATTTGATCGTTTTTCTTGGCAAAAGCTGGCCTCATGTCAACATGTCATTTCGGTTGCGGAGACCAATCTCGAGGCCTGCTCGCACAACATGCCCATCGGTTTTTTTGGAAATCAAGTTTATCTTTGTTGCGTCGGTCTATTGCTGCATCGTGTGATACCATGCCCATTAGTAGCCACTCGGTCGTCTTTAACAAGTGACGAATCTTTTCGGTTTTACTGCGTTCTCTCCGACAGTGCGGATGAAGATGCCTACATCGGTGGTCACAAGGTCCAAACAAATGTCGGTCTGGGCTTGCTTCTAGGATGATTGACGACGCATCATGTCTGCTTCGTTGCCTTCTTTCCAGCGGACGAGTACCCCGGTCCTGCAGCGCGTCATCGGTCCTCTCGTGCGTCGAAAATAATGTACTACTTGAGTCGTACACAAATGAAGAAACCAATCTTCGGTAGTTCTTGTTGACTGTGCCTTGCAACTTTGATTCTCGATGTGGAGCAACGAACAGTCGATATTTTAAACCCCTGACCATCGTTTTCTTCATCGCAGCAGCAGACGGACACGCGGGGTCGGTTGCTTTCGTTTATTTCCCCTGGCGAGTCGGTGAGTTAGTACTATCGTGCTCGGCCATTTGGATTTTCGTGCGAGACTAATGCATCGTGCACTTCTCTTGGTTGAAATGCAAGTGAAAGCATCGGAGCCATGTGTTAAGCTAGAACACTTTGATGGACGTACAAAAGCCTTCTGCTTATTTAACTCCAGTTTAAAAATGGATAGCTCATCTGCTTGCGATTTTCAAACACAAACAGCAGCGGATTTTTCCCCCAAATCTCAACGACTTTTGCTCCCCCAACTAACGAAACACAACCTAACGACGAATCTGAGAAACCAACGGAATCAAGCATAAACCAAGTAAAGGGCTCTAAGGTGTGCGAAATTTGTTGTTTTTCTCGAAAATTATACTTTACGCTTTATTAAACAGTCAAGGTCAACAAGTTCAAGTTCAAGAATAAACTCGACTGAGTACTTCTAGTACTTACAGCGAGAGACTACAACTCGGAAGAAAAAGCAAGCTGCTCGAAGTAAAAATATAATTGGTTCCGACGACGTACAGGAACCGAGAAGAAAGGAACCGAGAAGCAGATCTGCAGCACGCGACAGCAGAAGCAGAGTCAGTCCCGCGGTTTCACGACCCTGGACGAGAAGACGAAGACCACTATGTCGGCCACGAAGAATACCACGCCGCACAGCATGGACACTCTGGGTAAGTCTTCCATTTTGCTGGTTTTCGGTCGTCTTGTTTCTCGCCCCCGACCACCCCCAGGTCGGTGGAAACAGAGCAGCTTCATAACTCTCCTCGTTTTGCTTTCGAGGTGGACCTTCGTCCAGGTCCACCCGAATCAAAGAACTCGGTCGCGATTAGCAAGACAAATAAGTGGATCGATTCCGAAGACCCCACTTCGGCCGTAGATCGGCACTAGCGTCGCAAATTGGCCGACGGATCAACCTGAAGATCAAAGCACCAGTACGATCGAAGGTTCCGGCAATCTCTTCGCCATAAATTTGCGGCTCTGATTTTAGCTCGTAAAATAGCCTCAGACTACTCTCTCTGCCGCCCACCAAATTTTGGGCGCGATCACGAACAAGGGAAAGGGGAGAAGCATCAGTAAGTAGCCCAAATTTCGAGGCGGCAAAAAGTTGCAGAACGCCCACAAGCATGCGAAGCCCATGCCTTGTCTGTCAACTTTCGCCCCAGGTGCACCGGCTTCTCCACGGGAAACTATCAGGGCTCGCATGCTTTTCGCTTAACAAGTTCTAGATTGCTAACTTTAAAACCCTTACACCGGATATCGTTATGGCTTTATATTGGAAAGGCAAGAAAACATAACGTACACACGACACGCACCGGAGTGCATTACAAAGTGAGCACTACTCTGATTCCTAGTGGTGTGCCGATTCGTCTTTGCTTTTCTTTTGCGTCGCTTGTCTTTAGGGGCCGTTGGGGTACCTACGCTTGAAAGAAACTAATCGACAAAATCAGGCGGAGTCACAACCCCCGAAGATGCCGGACCGACGACCACCAACGCCGACCTCTTGCCGTCCCCGCAGGGCAAGACGTGTGTATGAATTGCAAAAGTAGTATCGCGCTTCTTCTAGTGAAAATTGCATTACAGATTAGCTTGGCATGATGACAAATTGAATGCGTCGTAGTGATGGCTAGTAGCATTTTGGGGAGGAGATTTTTCGTGATCATGCATGACTGCGATTAGTTTGAGAAGTACGGGTGCGAAGATATTACTTTTGCGCAGAATACTAGTGTGCGCCGGACCCCTCTGCAGCCACGCTCCTAAAGATCAAGTATCATAGAGAAAAGCACACCTATGTTACCAGAAAAAGAGTGAATTTGTAGTTGTGCTGATGCTACTCTAATGGCACAAAAAACTTGGGGATCATACTGGTCCGCAGGCAATATTCATGCCTGTCATGATGTAGAATGAGGTACCGCGCAGACATGCATTCGGATTTGCGATGCTGAACAGTAGACATCACAAGCAGCTTACATAGAAAATTTGCATTGCAATTATTTTTTGGCCTGGTATGAGTGTGCTTTTCTGTCGTAAGATAACAAGAACGGGCCGACGACGATTGACAAACCCGTGCCGACGGGACCCGAGGTGAAGGGCTACTCGAAGCGCGCCGGCAAGCGGAAGCAGGTGGTCATGCACCGCTACAAAAAGCTGGAGCTGCGCTACACCTGCCAGTTGCGGATGAACAAGAAGACCAAGTTGGGCGCCGCCACGGCGGCCGCCGGGGCGCAGATGTTCGGGGTTCCGTCGTTGGTGGGTAATGGCGTGCAGGCTGTCCGTACTTCGCAGTCCACCTCGCAGAATTTGCTGAAGCAGAAGGCGGCGCGCCTGGGCAAGGACGAGCCCGCGGGGGATGGAAAGAACGCTGCCGCCGCTGCTGACTCGTCCGCGCCTGCTTCGTCCGACGCTGCGGAAGCGTCTGGCGAACATGCTGGGGACTTTGCTGTCACGGCAGCTGGCGACCAGCGTTCTGACGCTACGGCCGGTCTGAGTGAGGCTGGTCCGCCTGGGGTGATGAAAAAAACGGCGTTTCTGGCGAAGACGGGCACCGGTCGTGTGCAGCAGGAGAAAAAGGTCTGGCCGTGGAGTCGCGAGCGCTTGCCTGCGCGTACATTTTTTCTTCGGCAATTTTGCAGAAAATTGGCTTCAAGTACTGGATACATTCGTAGTTATTGCTAATTCATCTTTTTCGTTCGTTATCGTTTGAATTCTCCGCTCATGTGGGGTGAGGCGATGTGGCCCGTTGGTCAAAGACAGCTGAGGGCCTTGGACTACGAGGCCCAAGGTGTGTGGTGATATGAGCGCACTTTTTCCGAATCAAAATACAGGTTGCACCGACTCAGCCTGGGACGATTTCAAGCGCTTTACTTGTGACAAGGTTGCGCGCACACTGGGCGACGCGAGGAAAGAAGCGGAGCGAGCCAGCGGAGCGAGGAAAGAAGCGGACGCGATTGAACAACTTGTGTATTTGCTTCTCAGTGGCAATTTGTTTGAAACGCTATTTCTCATAGATCAAAATGCAAAAATGAACAGGATGATAAGGAAAAGCCAAGAAGCCGATCGAGCAAGGAAAAGGACCAAAATACCACGAAAAGCAAGCAAATTCTTGCCACGATCGAAAGGAAAAGAAAAAAAAGACGAAGAGAAGAAGGAAAAGCAAGGAAATTAGGTCTGATTTCTTGTGAATCCGCATGAAAAACTGGCTTTCTTACTACTTTCAAGGAGCTGAGCCACGGCTACGGGCTTGTTAGGAATGTGAAAATAGCATTAGAAACTGGAAAAACTAGATTTGGAGTAAGGAATTTGCAATGCGAATTTGAAGAATTGAGGATGTAGTTTTAGATGGTGTTCACTTTTGATTCGGTATTGTTGCTTCTGAAAAAATAACCTCTCCATTTCGAAACTAGATCCTTCAAACTGCGGGCCGGGATCGCGCTTGCACCGACGCGCGAGATTGAAGAGGCGCTCGCTGACGCGGATGAAGTGGCGCAGGCCAACACCTCCAAGGCCAAAGCCACATGGATCAAGTCGACGTTTTCGGAGGCCGAGAAGTGGAAGTGGCACGCCGACGCCCTCCAGATGCGTCGCGAGGAGTATGCACTCGATGCCGAGACATTTCCTGGTGAAGGCACCCCGTGTAGTGGCTCCAAGCTCGGGAAAAAATTCGATCGACTGTTCGCCCTGTCGAAAAACGAAGGCGAGAAGTTCACTAAGGGATGGCATTGGGGGCTGATTCGAGACGTCGATTTCGCTGCGGCTTCCATGGCATGTGAAATTGTCAACAGTCCGGACTGCCAACCCAAAACGACGGTCGATCTTTCTGTCCAGAAAGACGCTCAATCTTTCTGTGCCCAGAACCGTGGTTTCGGTCTTCGCGCAAGGCTTGGCGCAAAGATGTCCCGCTGAAGAAACCGCAAGCGGTCTTGATGGTTGAAAAATAAGTAATTACAACCAGCCTCAGCCTCCAGCGGCCCAGTCGGGGTCCAGAGCTGAGAAAGGAGGTTCATTCCCTGCCCCGAAAAATACACGCCACGCGATGAAAGCATTTGCCAGTAGTGCTTCGGAATATACGATAAAATATGATGATGTGCGCGCGATTATACATTCTATTTCTATCTTGGTTTGCCCTGAAGTGTGGCTCTTATATCGAAGCAGCCGTAGCGGTAGAAGTAGCTGCTGCGCACGCCATGAAAATTCTCCTTGTCCACTTGCGCTAAAGGGAAAGCGGCTGTTATCGTTTTCACAATCACAGAACCTGGAGTAAGAAGAAGCAGGGCTACACCAATGTAGATTTTCATCTTCATCGTTTTGTTTTGCGAACTATGTATTACGCAGCTATCAATTTTTTATGACAATTCCATCTCCAAGGCCAAGAACTATCTGTCATTTTGTCTAGCGTAACACTTGTTTTCAGTTTGAGCAATCTTCTTATACAGTTGTTTTGTACCTGTTGTACACTTCCACCGCACCTTGCTTCTTCACCACCACCAACGAACAGCTACCTTACATTATTTCTTTCGTGAGCTACCTTACATTATTTCTGTTCGGGCACGTCCAGACGCGGCTTCACCTTTAGCGCAACTGATGTACTAACGGATTTTAGCCCTGTTAAACTACTTGACTATAACCAAGCATTTTTTATCATGATAAATAACGAACGACACAGGAACACCAGAACAGCTAAAAAGCGCAAGCGCTCTCATATCTGACGTTCCGAACTTCTAATCTTGTCGTATGCCTTTGTCTCACCTAAAATAAACAAGAACGACTCGAATGTGAGGACTATTTCGTGGCGTTGCAGCAAAGTAGAGAGCCATGGGACAGCACAGCTTCGAACCACAGGCGAAGGGAAGTAGTTAAGTCGGTTGTGGTGGGTTTATTTCATCAATATCTTCGTCTTCCTACTTTCCTGCCAACTGGAATTCCGCACTTGTGAGCCGCGACGAGGTAACTCACCTTTGTCGTGTCTGTGCAAAAATTGTCACGAAAGATGAGATTTTTCACGCCGCGAGCCAATCTTCAAAGACCGAAGGAGGAAGGCCTCGGCCGAAGGGTTTTCGACTTGTTTGTGTCGATGAAATGATAACGAGAAATCGCTCGATTTCTTGTTCCTCAGGGATAAATAACTTGGGTTTCGAAGAGAGTTTCGGGTGCAGGGCGCTTCTGCGTCTGTCATTTTCGTCGATTGTCTTGGCTTTTACTGTCACTTCTTACTTCGGCTTGTGATCTCTGATCGCCTCCACTACAGTTGTGCAACCTACTTCAGTTGTGCTGAATAAGATCCATACGAGCGTGAAAAATTCGTAAACAGTCTTACTCCTTCGAGTGCTTCTCGTCGAAAAAAATCTGAATCGGCTTGCGCACCATCTCTATCGGCTTCTGCGACAATCGATTTCCTTTTTTATCGGTTATGTGCGAGGATCTGTATATCGTTTATTCTCCGTTGTTGCTCCAATCGGTGTGTGTTTATTTTTCGTGATGTTTTTTGCTTGCAAAGTTTTTTTTTCGAAGACGAGGACCGCCTTGACGAGGTCAGCCTTGCCGAGTATCGGAGGTTGATCTGGAGCAGCAAGATCTTTCTTCAGCTTGTCTGTAGTCATAGTCTTGAGGTGACCATTTGGCGTTGGGCCTGTAATTATTATTATTATCCCCCCACTGGATAAGCACGACTTCCAGGCAAAGATCTAACATTTTTGTCACAGACGTCTCGACTGGTCCCACTCTGTTTATGAATATCGATAATGATTTATGTACTCTGGTAACTTGAAAATCTCGCTCTTCTTCCTTTTTAAACCTCTCGCCTGGTCCGCCTGTGAAACTGAAGATCTGAGCTTAATCATTATCCCCCCACTGGGTACGCAAATACGCTTGCAGATCTAAGTATATACTTTCTCGCACGTCTCGACTTGTCCCCACCTGTATACGAATAAGAACGTCAATTCCTGTACCTAAGCAACCTGAAAGCTCTCGCTTTGCCTTGGTTCTATCCTTCTCGCCTGGTCCGCCTGTAAAACTGACGATCTCGATTTTTGTATATGATCTGTATTATTAACTCCCCGACCTGTATGCGCGATTTCGATTTTCTACACTAAGCGAGCTTGAGACAAATCACTTCTGGTAACGCCGAAAACTCCCCACGCTTTCGTGATTTCAAATGCAGTTTTGACAGGGATTGAAGTCAAATACGTCGTCGCCTCGCGCGTTTCGACCATTTCGCAGACTGTAAGTAGTGCCGCTCGAGTCTGTCTCGTCTCCGCTGTTCTCCATCTTGGTTTGTTGATACAGATTTTCTGAGTGCCTCTGGATGCCTATTCCGCATGACAAATGTCCTCCCCGCGTAGCAGAAACTGGGCTCCTCTTGCTGGTCATGCAATACAGATTTTTCTAGAATCCAAAATTAGCATGACAAACTTGCATTCTTCCAGACTCAGACATTTTTACATTTGATAAATTTACTTCGCGCACGATTTTTGTTTACAGTTTACAACTATCAAATGCAAAAATGTCTGGGTCTGGAACTTTGCTAGACTTGTCACGCAGGTTTTCCATGACCCATCTGATCTGTAATGGAGTGCCTAGCATGACAGATTCCATGAGATCACTATCATGCCTATCCTGCATGACAAACTGCCTCTTAACTTGATCAAAAGTGGACAGCATTTGGCAATCATGCAACACAGATTTTTGCATGATTCTGATTTAGCATGACAAGTTCCAACCTTCCAGACCCAGACATTTTTGCAATCCATAACAACGATATTAAGACGATGATTCACGATCGGGGAAGTTTTCCTGAGCCTACGCACTGTTTTGACGAAAATTTGTCTTTCTGGGTTTGTATCAAATGCAAAAGCTGTGTCTGGGTCTGGAAGACATTAAAGATTTTTGCTAGGTTTGTCATGCGTATTTTGTGTGACCGTGATGCCTAATTTGTATTTGCATGACCTAGTAGCTGCGTCACAGCATGTATATACAATTTTATTGTAAAATGCGAACACAGCATCGGCATCGCAAGTTGTATTGCCCTTCCAGCAGACACAGACATATTTGCAGTGCATAGGGTGAGAAAAGCGGAAGCAGGTACGACACTGCAATCGAGGGCCTGCGGTTCCACACCAAAGGTTCTCGCGCAGCAGCAAAAATAGCGACATCTACGCAGCGGCAGAAGCAAGTTCCGCAGCTTTTCAAGCCCAGTATAGAGCAGTACCCCCACAGTATTTTTACAACAGATTTTTATACGAACAAGATCAAGAACCCACTCATGTTTTATTTTCCCTTTCTCCTCGGTGCAGCAGATCCATATCATACTAAAAATCCCGCAGGTGGTGGAGGCCCGTATTTCTATATTTCCTGTAGAGATCATCCGGCCCCTAAAAGCTCTTTGAATTTCGATCATCGTATCAATTTCAACATCTTCAAGTTCCTGCGCTCACTGTATTATATGGATTTATCTTCATGAGCAACGACATCACTCAAAGTTCTTCCGCCTAATAAAGTGGTTTATTTCCTTTGTGTGTATGAATAATTATGTTGCAACTACAAAAAAGAGGTATTTCTATTTCTTGACGTGCCAACATGTATCACCCTGCGCGACTAAGAGTAAGAAGGATGAGGGACAGCTTTTTCTACGCAGGAATCGAATCCTGATGAAGCACAAGAGCGTGGTGATATAATTGGTAGGTACAAGTAGAAGTCGGCACAGAGAGTCATTAAGTTTGGAAGTTGAAGACAACTATAGATTGCGCTGTGGTCTTACTTCATATTGAAAGCAAACCAAAAATCTTCCCCGGCGGGAGGACCGCGGGTGTGGTCAGCGGCAGATGCAGGCTCGGTTAAGTGATGTTGTTTTGTTCAACCCATTGGATTGGCTGCATGATTGGAGTCCGGTTGTCATTATCCAGCGTGCTACAACATCTATCTGACACAATTCTGTAATGCGGTTCCGAGGTGGCTCCTGGTCCTGTGAATAGAAAAATTAGCAAGAACTCGCTTTCTTCCTCAAAGTAAAGCTACGAAAGTTCCTGTTAAGGAGATTCGTAGTAAATCTTTTTCTCGTACGTACTCCACCATGAATGCCGTTTAATATACGTTTTTCTTTTTCCTCGTCCTCGTCCTCATCGTGGCAACGTAGAAAGAGCAGAAATAACGAGAACATAGTACGTACCACTCGGTCGATCGTGCAACCACATGAAGGACGACGTCGTGGTCCTGTGAGCAACAAGTTGTAATTTTTACAAGCGCAAGGAAATAATATAAACAAGTACAACCCGCGGCCAAGCAGAATAGTAATTTTGACAATTAAGTATTGTAAGTATCTCTTTATTCAATCATTTCGGTTCGTTCTCGTGCTGGCTTGCTTCGTCCGGTTCACATTTCGATTTCGTTATGGTTTCATTAAACTCCTGAGGTAATTTTTATCAGTTCCTCGGTTCTTCTAAATCTGCAACACAAGTTTCCAGATGGTAAATCTGCAACACAAGTGCCTCGTCCTCGGTTCTTCTCCAAGGTGGTAAATCTGCAGCACAAGTTTCCAAGTTTTAGATGATGCGCATGACAAGTTTCCATCTGCAGCGCAGTGCTGGTTAGAAAGGGAAGCCGCATGAGAAAGCACTACCAGAAACACGACTGGAAACGACCGTCATGGAGATTGGCACTGCAAATCTTCCTGTCATGACGGATTTGCATGACAACTAGGGCCTGCGGTTCCAGACCAGCAAAGGTTCTCGCGCAGCATATCCTGTGCAAAAGTATCGTACTCGTAAGTAATTGCAATCATGCATTGCAAATCTTTCTGTTAAGGGAAATCCGCATCACAAATTTTATTTCTCACGCTGAGGAAATTTGTAGTCCTCTGCTCGGCTTCAACATTGACGCAGTGCAAAAGTATCGTTATCGTACTCGTACTAATTGCGTTTGTGCATTACAAACTCTTTATTCATTCTCGGTTCGTTCTCGTGCTGGCTTGCTTCGTCCGGTTCACATTTCGATTTCGTCCAGGCAAACTGCAATATAAAAACCTCGGTGCCTCATGCTGGTATTGAAAATACCGACGTTTCGATGATGTCAGAATTCGTTGTACTAATTTGCGTCGGTATTCGTACTTGTCGTCCTCTTCATTTGCCCCTCCTCGTGGTCCTATCTTTGAAGATTTCAATCAATACTACTTACTTCTACTGGACGACCGCACTAGCAACATCGCAGCTATAATTTCATCATACCTTACTTTCAACAGGAACGGTTCTTGCGAGAAGTGCCGTCGTGGTGCTACTTTGATGTGGCCCGACGTTCGATTCGCATAGCATGACCCAAATCCTCACTAATTTCCATTTAATATCAACAACCCTTTATTACGCCGTTCAACACATTCACATTCCGATTTCCTCCAAGGACAAACAATTTTAGCTAACAACCTGAATTTGATGTTCCCCAAAGTAATTCTTGTAGCGAGAACTCTAAATATTTAGCACGCAAGTGTAAGCAGTTGTACTAGGAGGTCAAAAGCGCTACTCTGTGTAGTAGTTTTTTTAGTGCTTCTTTTACATACTGCTTTGGCATTGCAACTGGACTGCCACGCTAGAAGTAGAAAAATCCCAGATACTATTTTCACCCCCGAAAAGATCTTTAAGCGGAACAAGTTCACCCACAACTGCTAGTGTAAATCAGCCTGAAGAACGTCGAAGATGCAAGACGGCCGCCTTCCCCCCTCGTCGACGACCTACTCGTATCAACGGCAAAAGTGTCTGGGTCTGGAAGAATGCAACTTTGTCATGCTTGTCTGGCATGACTCGAGAGTCTGTGTTGCATAGGCACGAAAAGGCCCTTTACTTACCTGTCATGCACGAACCAACGCAGTTTGCCATGCGGAATACGTAAGACATGGCAGCCAAAAAATTTGTCATGCGTAGCTGCGTATTGCTGTGCGTCTATCATTCACTTTTAGCACTACAAGTTTCCAGACATCCAGGGATATTTGCAATCCATAACTCGCAGCCACGGTCCGAGCGGTCGGAACGCGCCCCGCGGTCAAACGCCAGCCGCGGGAACTCGCGGCAGACCTTATCAAATGTAAAAATGTCTGGGTCTGGAAGAATGCAACTTGTGATGCTGCATTTGGATTCCAGAAAAATCTGTATTGCATGAGTACCAAAGGGAAGGCAATTTTTGCTCCGCTGAGAAGGCATTTGTCATGCGGAATAGGCATCGGGAAGCCCTCAGCAAATCTGTATTGCTAGGGTATGCATCACAGACATCATGGCTCATGCAAAACGTGCATGACAAGTGTCCGAATCTTCCAGACCCAGACCTTTTTACAGTTGATAGACCTCGGACGCGGGCGACAGCTACGCCCCGACGCGGCGTTTGGCGCCGGCCGGAAGCCGGGGATATGGCGTTCTCAAATGTTACAGTCTCACCTGTTACGTGATTTTGCATGCAAAATTACCTTAAGGCGCCAGATGGTCAAGCTGCTTCGCATGACAAATCTGCGAAGGGCTAGGCAGCACCTCAATCTGTGCGGAATTTGTAATGCAAAAGACGCAACTTTTCCCCATCTCAATTTTCATTTTGCCACTCTTGCATCACAAATTCACGTAACAGTTGAGAGTGTAACAGTTGAGAGCGCGACAGGGGACGAAGCGGCAACCCAAGTAGCGGGAAGGACAAGGAGTCGAAGCGCGCCGGCCTGCTACCCGAGAACGCAGCCATCATGTTCAACACGAACCAGAGGGAAAACTTGAACCGTATTTCTGAATCCTACCACCACAACCAATCGCCGAACGACCGACGCATGCTGAACCAGGTCGAGGAGCACGTGGAAAGCCGGTTGCAGTTTGAAAAAGACCAGCATTTGAAGGAGAAGGAGAGACTATCATAAGGGAAAATCCCCCTCCCTCTATCGAGAAGGAAATTTGTGATGCTGATTTGTGACCACGAATCAGCTCTGTTTTGCATATGGGGCAAATGGGAGCCGTTTGACGCATTGTTTCGCAGCCAATCTGTGATGCGCTTTATTTCCATACTGCAAAGGTGAAAGGTCTCTGCCATGCCTAACTGCTAGCCTGTTGCATACTCAATAAGGCATAGGAAGTGCCTCCAAGCGCCTTGTGCAAAAATACATAGCGCTGATTTCATCGTGTGTACAGTAATCCAGCAACAGAAATGTCCTGTTTTCTATGGGGCGGTGGGGGCTTTTTTTACTTTGATAGAGACTGAACCGGAAAATCCAAAACCTCCAGTTTAACCTCTCCACCGCGAGTATGGGGGTGTCAGGATCGAAATCGTCAAAATTGTCATGCACAAAATGCAACTCGAAGATTGCCTCTATTGCAGAGGACGCACGGGAGGCAGATTGTAGTGCTGGTAAGCAGGGTCGCGAATTCTTGGGCTGCTCTTTAGCATGACAGAGGGGAGCCCAGTTGCCCTAAAGAAACTGCGTGACAGACTTGCTTTACAGACAGACAAAATCTGTGGTAGTGCGCCGCCTATAAACTGTGGGCGTCTAGTAAGTCTCACTGATAGCGGTTTTATGCATATTTATACAAATCATTTCAACTTTGTCGATTTCGATCCTGACTTTTCCATAGCGAAAAACCAGATGGGCGGCCTGCTAACGGATATGCAGACCATCGTGCCCAACATCACCAGCGAGGAATCGCGCATTTTGCTGGACTACTTTAGCTATCAAATGCAAAAATGTCTGGGTCTGGAAACTTGTGATGCTGGTTGGCGAATCCTGAGGACGCCATAAGTGACGGCTCAGCATGACAAGTTTCTGACTTGCTAGGCGTTGCGTATTCTGCATGACAGACCGCGTTTCGGCATGACAGAAAAGTGCCGCTTTTGGGTAACGAGCATGACAGACCTTGGGGTCATGCTAGCAGAGCATGACAAACCTTCCATTCTTCCAGACCCAGACACTTTTGCAATCCATATTAGCAAGAAACTGGGCGACCAGGTACGTACAAATAAACGTAAAAGTGTAGACACAAAAAATAAATCGACACCTACTACTACTTATTCTAATTCATTAGCACTAATAAAAGGAATATCACACGACCGAGGCCTGCGGCGTTTGTTCAACAAGAACAAGTTCAACTTCTCTACTACATCTACAACGTGTAGAGGTACTAGAAGAGGTTTTATAGCTACTTACAACTACCGAAGGAGCTTGAAAGGTTGTAGAGATGAAAAGAAGTTGAACATCAAGTTCTCCTCGTGCTTCATTATCATTGATTTCGTTGAAGCATGGTGTCATCCTTCCGAATTGCTTCTATAATCCTGTGTGCTGCTGAGTTGCTATTAAGCCAATGCTCTGTAGTTCCTCCTGCCCTACAAAATTGTGTTGAAACCGAACGTATGAGAAGTGAAGGGAAAATGAAACAATAAACGCTCAACTTTTCATATTTTCAGCTCGAGGAAGTCCCCGATGGGGACCAGACGCAGGCCGGCCTCACGGCTTCCCCCGCCGCGAATTCTTCTCGGCTGAACAACGGCATATCCATCGCAAAACAAGTTGTATCTAGCATAAAGCGCATGACAAATTTTCTCAGCATGAGAGGTGGCATTTGTGATGCGGATTTGGATTTGCCTTTGACGAGAAGATTTGTAATGCATAAACGGGATGCTAGTACGACTACACTTTTGCAATGCATACGGAAAGAAGTACGGGAATTTTTCGCGGGAAACCTACAACGGCTCCGACTCGAACGAACAGCAATTTCGGTCCCTGCCCGGCAGTATCAAATGCAAAAGTGCCTGGGTTTGGAAATCTGTAATGCTGAATGGTCATGAGTGAGCGCGCCTTTGAATGCAGCAGTAGTGCATGACAAGTTTTATTTCAAGCACTTTCTCATGCTCAGTGCGCATTACAAACTGCGCTTTTTCATGACGAAATTGCGCCGCTTTTGTATGCTTTTATGCAATACAGATTTTTCTGAAGTCCTGGACACGCAATACAAAGGTTCAACCTTTATTCCAGACCCAGGGATATTTGCATTTGATAGGCAGTAAGCAGGCCCGGGCCGCCGGGGGCGCCAGCGTCGGCCCGCCGGTGCTGCACCACTTGCGCAGGCTATGAGAGTGCACAACTTCCCCCCCCTTATTTGCCATGCAAAATCTTCCCAAATCCAGTCTGTTCCTCATGGCAATCTTTGCATGACAAACAAGGTCCGAGCACGGGGACAGAGTCCCCGTGCGGCGACCTTCCGGCACTTGTCTGCGCGGTGGCACTGGGAAGGCAGGTCGCCTGCAGCTAGGTATCTCGGTGCGCCTTGCGTTCACTGGCCCGCGACGGGCCTGCGGACGCGGCCCCCTTGCTTGCGCGCACTACACTAGACTCATTAGCCGGCCGCGCGCAAAGATAAAAGAAAAGAAGAAACTGGCGCGCGCCCGCCGGGTCTGGAGCCGGCCCCCAGGTCATGACGCGGCGACAGAGTCCCCGCACTGCCCTAGGGCCCTTCTCTGCCCCTTCCATCCTTGGCCGCGCGGTGTGCTGTCCGGGGAGTGTGCGTAGCTAGCCCTTAGGCCATGACGCGGGGACCGAGTCCCCGCGCTGGCCTAGGGCTTTCGCCCCTTGGCCGCACGGATTCACGGGGAGTGCTGCCTGCAAGCTAGCCCCTAGGCCATGGCGCAGGGACCGAGTCCCCGCGCTGGCCTAGGGTTTTCACCCCTTGGCCGCACGGTGTCCGGGAAGCGCTCAGGCACAGCTGGTCCCTAGGCCATGACGCGGGGACCGAGTCCCCGCGCTGGCCTAGGGCTTTCGCCCGTTGGCCGCACGGTGTCCGGGAAGCGCTCACAGTTGGCCCCTAGGCCATGACGCGGGGGCCGAGTCCTCGCGCTTGCTTAGAGCTTTCGCCCCTAAGTCGGCCGCGCGGTTTCGCCGGGGAGCGCTCGCAACGAGCTGGCCCCTAGGCCATGGCGCGGGGACCGAGTCCCCGCGCTGGCCTAGGGCTTTCGCCCCTTGGCAGCACGGTGCCCGGGAAGCGCTCACAGCTGGCCCCTAGGCAATGACGCGGGGACAGAGTCCCCGCGCGCGCTGGCCTAGGCAGGGGGGGCCTTCGCCCTTTGGCCGCACGGGGTCACAGGAAGTGCTGCGAGCTAGCCCCTAGGCCATGCGCGGGGGCCGAGTCCCCGCGCTGCCCTAGGGGTTTCGCCCCGCCCTTGGCCGCGCGGTGTCCGGGAAGCGCTTACAGCTGGCCCCTAGGCCATGACGCGGGGACCGACCGGGCCCCCGCGCTGGCCTAGGGCCTTCGCCCCTTGGCCACACGGATTCACGGGAAGTGCTGCCTGCAAGCTAGCCCCTAGGCCATGGCGCGGGGACCGAGTCCCCGCGCTGGCCTAGGGCTTTCGCCCCTTTGCCGCACGGTGCCCGGGAAGCGCTCCGGCACAGCTGGCCCCTAGGCCATGACGCGGGGGCCGAGTCCCCGCGCTGGCCTAGGGCTTTCGCCCCTTGGCCGCACGGTGTCTGTCCGGGAAGCGCTCACAGCTGGCCCCTAGGCCATGACGCGGGGACCGAGTCCCCGCGCCGGCCTAGGAAGTGCTTGCGCCCCTTGGCCGCACGGTGTCCGGGAAGCGCTCACAGCTGGCCCCTAGGCCATGACGCGGGGACCGAGTCCCCGCGCGGGCCTAGGGCTTTCGCCCCTTGGCCGCACGGTGTCCGGGAAGCGCCCACAGCTGGCCCCTAGGCCATGACGCGGGGACCGAGTCCCCGCGCTGGCCTAGGGCTTTCGCCCCTTGGCCGCGCGGTGTCTGTCCGGGAAGCGCTCACAGCTGGCCCCTAGGCCATGACGCGGGGACCGAGTCCCCGCGCTGGCCTAGGGCTTTCGCCCCTTGGCCGGCCGAGGTGTGTCCGAAAGTCTGCCCGGGGTGTGTCCGAAAGTCTGCCCGGGGTGTGTCCGAAAGTCTGCCCGGGGTGTGTCCGGGGTGTGTCTGGGGTATGTTCGGACTTTTTGCCTGGGGTGTGTTCGGGGGTCTGTCTGGGGTATGTCTGGGGTGTGTCTGGGGTCTGTCTGGGGTATGTTTATACCCCACCTGTTGGCTTTTCGGCAAAAAATTGTAGTCCGCTCGTGATTGAGGAGGATTTGCATACCCCTGACACACCCCCGAACATATTCCCGAACATACCCCTCGCCTGCATTTTTGACCAGCTGCTGCAGTTTAGATAGTAATTCCTTCGGTTAGCCCAAATAGCCCTACACAACTCCAGTGTAGTAAACTTGTCATGCAACAGCGGTATTCTTGCTGATGCTTTTCTTGCCGTTCATGCTATACAAATGAGGGGGAGGGGGAGCTATGTGCATTGTCATACAGGCACAAGGACTACGAGAAGCACCACGACGACTTCCGGGACTACTTTGAGAGCGAAGTTATCGCAAGAAAAAACTGATGTGGTCTCAGTCTCAAGTTGTAATGCGCGACTGGCTTGAGACAGTTTTTTGTCATGCTGGAGATGCAATCGAAGACAGTCGTCTTTCATACGTGTTTTGCCTTGCATGTATCTGAAGCATCATAGATAATCTGTTTCTTGCTTCGTAAAAAATTTGATGTCTTTTACTGAGTCTACTGCAAATAATGCCCTTGAGACCACTGAGGAACGTTTTTCTTTGCATAGAAGTGATGCAGGAGCTGATTCAGCAAGCCAGGCGGGCGGAACGCCGACGCAGCAGCATCCGCAGCTCTTTGTCGGAGCACCAGGACTACATGCAGGAGTTCGTTTTTGCAGAGCTCGTGGCCTTTGTGGAGACCAAAAACCGCTCCAAGCGGGAGATGGAGCAAAACCGCCGCGTGTACAACAGTGTCGTGGCCGACCTGGCCGACATTTTTGGCGACCACCACGCGAGCCACCACGTCGACAAGTTTTCACGTGCGTCAGTATCAAGAAGAAAAATCCCCCCTCCCCATATCAAAGCGGAAATCTGTGATGCAGATTTGTGGTCACAAATCAGCTCTGTCGTGCTAGAAGGGAAAAGATGTAGACACTGTAGCGCTGGTGGCCTGGGAAAGCCTGGCATCTTCAGCATGACAGGAGGCAGCAGGAAGTGGGAAACAGCATGACAAGTTGCCTGCAACCGAAGCCACGGCTGCGGCTCTTGGCCTTCTAGCAACGCAAGTCGATTTGTGTACTCAAATACGGCATCACGAATTTCGTTTTCGATAAGGGGAGGGGGGATTTTTCCTTTTTATAGTCAGAGCAAGCCAGCATCAAACGCAGCAAGAAGCAGTTTCACGAGTCCATGCTGAAGGCCAAGCCCCTTATCAACTGTAAAAATGTCTGGGTCTGGAAGATTCTGACACTTGTCATGCACGTTTTGCATGAGCCATGATGTCTGTGATGCATACCCTAGCAATACAGATTTTTTGAGGGCTTCTTGATGCGTATTCCGCATGACAAATGCCTTCTCAGCGTAGAAAAAAATGCATTTCCTTTGGTACTCATACAATACAGATTTTTTTGGAATCCAAATGCAGCATCACAAGTTGCATTCTTCCAGACCCAGACACTTTTACACTTCATACCCCTGATGCAAGAGCACTTCCAGGGCGCGAATTCCTTGCATACCGAAGAGCAATTCCACAGGCTCATGGAGCACATGGAAGACAAACTCTACAACCATTCGGACCACGAGGACCACGGCTTAACCTCTCGCATGGTGCGGAAAAACCACGGGTTTGACAAGGCCTCGGGATATGGATTGTAAAAATGTCTGGGTCTGGAAGGTTGGAACTTGTAATGCTACCTTTCCATACCTAGAAAATCTGTATTGCATAACCAACAAAAGTCGCAACCTCTTTTGTCATGCAAAAACGCAGTTTCTCATGCGGATTTCCTATGAGGAAGCGTTTTGGGAAGTTGTCATGCCGGACTGCATTCGGAAGTGTTTTCATCATGCACAATTTAGCATCACAAGTTTCCAGACCCAGACATTTTTACAGTTGATACGGGAAAGACGCATGCAAAACCGAAGATCGTGCACCAGAACACACCCGCGAGTGCGCAGCAGTTTAGTGGCAAGAAGACGGAAGATCTGAAGGAGCTGAACCACTTGACCAAGGAGGAGCAGCAGCTGCTGCAGGAATTTCGGGCGCAGAAGCAGCAGAAGCAGCAACGCCTGCACCCCACGATCCTATCAAATGTAAAAATGTCTGGGTCAGGAAGATTTCTAGATTTGTCATGCATATTTGCCATGACCCATGATGTCTGTGATGCATGCCGTAGCATCACAGATTTTTGGAGCGCTTTGTGATACCTCTACCGCATGAGAAATGCCCTCTCCGCGTGGCACAAACTGGAGTTCTCTTGCTGGTCATGCAATACAAATTTTTTCAGAATCCAGAGACAGCATCACAAGTTTAGAGTCTTCCAGACCCAGACATTTTTGCATTTGATAGAGCCTGTTGCGGGACGATCTGCAGAAGGTAGACGGCGCCCTGCCCGGAGACTTGTCGCCCCCGCGCGGGCTGCAGCTGCTGCCGGCGACGCCGCGCATGAAGGGCAGTTTTTTTGCGGGAGACTGGAACACAGCTGCTGGTGGTCCACCAGGAGCGCAAGCGGGAGTAGAACAGCCCTACACGGAGTATCGGGATGGCGTGCAATTCGAAGTAAACACCCCAACCCCGGCGAATGCTGTGGCCACGCCGCCATCGTTCCTCAAGATGGACAACGTGCACCTGCCACACACGTCCCTTTTCGCCGCCGGTGGCAACAACCTGTTGAAAGCGACGAAACAGTACTCGCAGAGCCCGGCAACGACCTTCGCTGGCCACAAAACCGCGCGCGGGTCCCTCACTTCGGGCGAAGACGCGGAAATTCAGAACAGCCTCCGTTTCGCGCATATCCAACAAAAAAACGTTGTTAGTGTAAATTTGTGATGCGCAACATGCAAGATGATTGCGGCTGTCATGCTTGGCATACGTCGGAAGGTCCATTAAAGGGCGTTTTCACGTACTATCTGCGCATGACAGGTTTTTGCTGTCATGCGAGAGATATTTGTGATGCTAAATCCTCCAAGAAAGTTACACCTACAATGTTTTTTCTTGGATAGCGCAGGGAACTTACTCCTTCGAAATGCCGCAGATAAACATGATGCCGGTGTTATCGTGAACAAAAACGTCCCCACCCCAGAGTCAAGATGGGATTTCTGCTAGACAAATCTGTCAGCTTTGGGTGTTGCGCATGACAAGTTTGGCCTCGTGGTATGATCCTGGTTAGCTTGTTCAGCAGCATCACAGATCTAGCATATCGCGCTGATTCTAGCATCGCAAATCCCAAAACACAACTAGAAACTGCTTCTCATGGGTCTCCGCATGAGAAAAATTTTCAGCATGCAGACTTGCATAACAACTCTGGGGTGGGGACGTTTTTACATTTGATAGGTGTTTCAGCCGGCAGAGTTGGTGGAACAAAGATTGTTCAACGACCAGGTGCCCAGAAGGCGAGCAGAGGCAGTGATGCAGCAGGACAAGCAGTATCAAATGCAAATATGTCTCGGTGTAGAAGGAAGATGCGAGGTTTGTCATGCTTAAAGCTGGCATGACTGAAGAACTTGTGATGCCTGCCCAAGAAGAGATTCTTTTTCTTGTCATGCAAAAAAGCAGCTTGTCATGCGGAAACTGCAACGCTAAGCAGCGCAGATACAACTTCTCATGTAGTTTGGCTGTGCATTACAGGACACTCACTATAATTCCCAACCCAGCATCACAAGTTTATTCCAGACCCAGACATATTTGCATTCGATAAGCAGCAAACGGTGACAACGGACGGAGAGCGTCGAACCCCGTCCCCTTATGAGAGTGCACAACTCCCCCTCCCCCTCATTTGTCATGCAAAATACCCAATCCACCCTTTGCCTCTCGGCACTGTTTGCATGGCAAGTTCTGGTAGCCGAAATAGCACTATACTCCAGTGCAAATCTGTATCTGTCATGCAAAACCGACACTCTTGCTGATGCTTGTATTGCCGTTCATGCTACACAAATGAGGGGGAGGTGGGGTTGTGCACTCTCATACCCCGTCGGGCAGGTTTATTCTGGGGCAGAAGCCCACGAACTTTGGCAACAAAAGCGTGGACACGGTGTATTTGGCTGACTTGACCAGCTTTGACAGCAAGAAGGTATAGATAGAAGAAGAATCTTAATTTTGATGTTCTCGTCAAAAATAACCTACGCGAGAAATTGTATCGATACAACTAGGGTTGTTCGGGTTGTACTATTAATTACTAAATAAAGTTCTTGCGAGGTAAAGCAAATCAAATACACATGATTTGTCTTCCTCTACTACTTCCAGGTAGTTGTACTAGTTGCAGTTCTCTCTTGATGTTCCACACATCGTAGCGGTCCTCGTGGACCCACATGTAATTTTTATTCCATGACACAAGCAGAGTTGCAACCGATTTATTGTCATGCAGAAATTACGATACAACAAAGCAAACTCTATCCACAACCCCAGGCCGCCGTCGACGCCAAGCAGCGGTGACAAAAGAGGGTCTGCGAGAGGGGTAAAAAAACCCGAATCCGCCCGGCACAGGGCTGATGTTTTTGCGGCCCTTTCATGCAAAAGCCCGAACCCTCTCGCGCCACCCTCTCGCGCATCCTCTCGCGCCACCCTCTTGCGCCACCGTCTCGCGCCAACAATTTTATTTCCCCGGGGAATCAGGTGGGCGGGCGCGGGGTGGTGATAAACAAAGAGCAGCGCCGGCCTCTGTCTGATTCTTTTGGCACGCACCTACGCCGGGGCGGCATCTCTTCGCCCGCAAGGTTTACTGCAGCTGCCACCTGCGCATAGCGCCTAAAGGCGCGGGAAGCGCGCAGGAGGCCCTGCGGGTCGACCTCGCGCAAAATGGCGCTCGAAGTTTCCTCGGTCCGTCACACTGTGCCCAAAGCTTTTGTGTCGCGGCCCGATCCGCAAATAGTCAAACCCCAGCACAACAGCCTTGCGCTCCGGCGGCAGCCGGAGCATGGCTGGTTTATTGTCATGCAGAAATTACGACACAACAAACTTTGTTGAACTGCAAAAGCATCGTACTCGTATAAATGCATTACAAATTTCCTCAGCATGAGAAACAAAATGAAAATTTGTAATGCAGATTTGCTTTGGAAACAAGATTTGTAATGCAATACTACAAAACAAACTAACTATCCACAACCCCAGGTCGCCGTTGACGCCAAGCAGCGGTCCAACGTCACCACTGTAAATTCCAAGCAGTCACAGCAGCCTGTCATTTATCAACGATAATAATACTTATGTTTATTAATCTGGGTCATCTACATCTACTGGAAGAACGTTTTTGTCATGCTAGTTTGTCAATGGGAAGCGAAAGCGCTAATGTCGTTGCGACCACGCCACTGCGTTTTTTGTGTGTGTGTGAAAGCAGGGCATTAGCGGGACTTTTCGCTGCTGTGGAACTACAGCACGGACCTTATCGTCTTGCTCTTGGCAGATACTGTCCCTGGCATGACAAAATCCAGACGTGGTGACCTAGATCATCTTTGCAGATATTTGCAACATGCATACCCCTCCAACTGTCTTGACGGTTGACAAAGACACGGAGATGGCCGAGGCGGGTGACATATCATACGTAAAAACGTCCCCATCCCTTAGTCAAGTTGGGAACCTAGCAAGACAAATCCACAAGTTTTGGGAGCCACGCATGAGAAGTTGCAGACAACGTAGTGTAGTTTTTCTTAGCAAGGACAACCGCATCACAAATCCATCTGCTTATCCTGTTTACAGCATTTTTACAAATTCCAAATTGCGACTGGAAAAAATGCCTCTCATGGAGATGCGCATTACAAATCTTCGTGGAATTATCGCAAATCCGCATGACAACTGTAGGGTAGGGGACGTTTTTACTCAGGATATGACATTCTGTACGTGCGGCGCAAGTCCCGGGGCTCCAGCCCCAACGCGGCGGCGCAGATTAGCTACCACAGGGTGGCTATGCAAGAAAAAAACTGTGTAAGTGAAAATCTGTGATGCAGAAAATGCCAAACAGTTACACTTGTCATGCTCGACATGCATGACTGGCTCGCTTCCTATGTGTTTTCCCTTTGTATCTGCGCATAACAAGTTTGTCCTGTCATGGCAGACAAACTTGTGATGCTGTTTTCCCAAAAGACTTACACTTACACAGTTTTTTTCTTGGATAGTGGTGCACTCCGGGGTCTTGCCGCAGCCCGTGATGTTGTCGGGGTTGCTGGGAAAGCCGTGGCAGCTCGGCATGGGAATGTCCGGACAGTATAATCTGAATCAAACAAGCGGAAATAATGGTAGTGCCACAAATGTAAACGGGTCTTTGCCCGATATGGTGGGGCTGTACGTGAGCAACCCACCAAACACGGCATAAGAAGAAGAAGAAGAAGACAAAAATGGGAAGATTACCTGGAGGTGATCTCCCAAAAGATTGTGATTGATTCGAAACCTAAACGCAAACTCATAAATCGAACATGAAATATCAAAGCCAAAACTTCTAATATTAAACATCGTAACTTCATCTTTAGACACGACTAAAAATGCAAAACCCTGGCCGCAGGCCATTCGCCTGTTATTCCGCAAGATACATTTGATTATACTTGAGATGCAAGAACTTTTTGAACAACTTTTAAACCTTATATTCCCGATGCAACAAGTAGAAGACGTGACGAAGAAGACGCCACGCGGCAATGACACCCTCGAGCCGTTTCTCCGAAAGAACGTCAAGGCCGTTTTACTTTTTTCAACTATACAATGCGAGTAATCTATCTCCTGAAAAAATCACTTTCATTTGAGTCTTATTCCCAATGCAATCTGACTTTCTTCTCATCGGTTTTAATAGATTTTTATTTTCACGATCAACTGTAAACTACATGTAATAGTACATTTCATTTTTATAGTATTTCAAAAATCGCAATTTTTATTTTTCTATCGCTATGGTTTGTCAACATTTATTATCACATATACATTTTGCATTTGCTCAGTTTTTCACACGACTGCAGGGTCGTAGAGGTCATTTCAGTTTCACATCACTAGAGAAGTAGTTCATGCGTGTATCCCATGCAGTATACTGTAGTACTTGTGCTAGAAAGCATCCGAAAAATAAGTATTCAACCCCGAGCACTATCCGAAAAAATAGAAAAACTCCCTTCCTTTTTAAAAACAGTTTGACAGGGCCGAGGTGGCGGGATGTTGGGGATGGCATGACAGTTATTCTTTTCAGCATCTCGTCTCAGTCACGAGGAGGAAATAAAGGTGGTCCTAGATCATGAAAAAATTATCCTGTTTTATTGGAAGCCCCACTGTTTAGAAAGTTATCAACCCCTTTATTTGATGCTTGACAAGCACGACGCTATTGAGATCTTGACGACGACGAAGAACGAAGTGGACAGGCCGCTCCTGCGCTTGTCTCTAGTTTGCTACGAGAAGTAAAATAGACACCCGCTTGACCATGTATCTCCCCGTGAGCGTGACACCTTGCCGTGCCTGATTTTATTGTTGGAATCAAGTAGTACTAGCTTTAGTGCCGCGCCGAGGGGTGGTCAGTGGTCTCTCGTAGTACCACCGCATCAGACGCAGAGAAAATAAAGCACTACAGTAATATTTCAGCAAATCAGCTCATCTCATATGGCACAGAAAAACCACACGGAGGTTGTTGCATGTAGAAGCTTTTTTCAAGAAGCGGGAAGTTTATTACGCGGGAAGCACCCCTTCCCGGATTCTATTCCGCCTAGAGAGACGGGAAAAACTAGGTATACTACTTCTGCAACGTCGAGACGTAGTCAAGATTTTGAACCCCCTGGCCGTGCTAGTGTCTGTACATGAAAAAAAAAATCAGCCAATAGAATTTTTGTGCGGCTGAGGTCTTCTTCTTCACCGGTAGTTCGTCCCAACGGGAACGGATACGGAGACGGTGAAGATTACTGGTTTTTGTCCTCCTGTCAAGCAGGAAAAGTGTTCAACCCTCTTGTTTGTTCAACCCTCTTGTCTGAATGCGCATGGCGATTAAACGCGTAAAAATAAACGACAAAGTTGTAGACCATTGCGAGTACAAATACAATCTATATTCCAATCTGTTGTAGGTTGCGGTTGGTTCTTGTGTGGCGCCCGCACTACTTCTTCGCCACAGCTGCCGTTCAGCAGCGCGATGCTGGTTGCTGGCTTCTTGAGGAGGAAACAAGGAAATAGAAAAAACTCATTGATTCATCCCTACGGAAAGAAACAAACTCATAGTTTGAACGCTGCTCGACGCTTTATTTATAGTGTCCAGCTGGGCTCCTGCTATCCTGGCTATTAACGTCAGGCACGTGGTGATCTCCCGATTTGGCACTTCTGAAAAGAGTTTGGAGTTGAATATTTTTGACTTTAATAGGCCTTCTTCTAAAGAAAGTAGTATTAGTGAAATGAATACGTAAGCGAGAAGATCATGATGTGATGATTCCAGCAGTCTGGCGACGGAAGTGGAGTGAGGAAAATCCCACTAAACGGTGGACAAGTACAAGACCGCGAACAACGACGTGGGTTACAACAACAATTTCTACTCACACACCTGCTTCCTCTGCAGAATTTCAAACTTCTTTTCGAAGTCCTCCACCGGATTGGCCAACACATCAAGAATACCATCGTCGATCTGCTGGCCTCGTGGCAGGGCATGGAAAATTAAAATACACGATGATTAAAATTGGATTCGCACACGAAGGTGTTCGACGAACAACCTTCCTCCAACCTCCAACTTTTGTAGCATTCACGCGAAGAACTAACATTTGTCGGAAGCAGAAGATTTTGCCAGAGCAGAGGCAGTGATGCAGCAGGACAAGCAGTATCAAATGGATGCAAATATGTCTGGGTATAGAAGGATGCGAGGTTTATTGTCATGCTTGTCTGGCATGACTGAAGAACGTGTGATGCCTGCCCAAGAAGAGACCCTTTTTCTTGTCATGCAAAAAAGCAGCTTGTCATGCGGAAACCGAAACTGCAATGCTAAGCAGCGCAGATACAACTTCTCATGTTTGGCTGTGCATTACAGGACACTCACTATTCCCAACCCAGCATCACAAGTTTATTCCAGACCCAGACATGTTTGCATTCGATAAGCAGCAAACGGTGACAACGGACGGCGAGCGTCGAACCCCGTCCCCTTATGAGAGTGCACAACTCCCCCTCCCCCTCATTTGTCATGCAAAATACCCAATCCACCCTTTGCCTCTCGGCACTGTTTGCATGGCAAGTTCTGGTAGCCGAAATAGCACTATACTCCAGTGCAAATCTGTCATGCAAAACCGACACTCTTGCTGACACAAATGAGGGGGAGGTGGAGTTGTGCACTCTCATACCCCGTCGGGCAGGTTTATTCTGGGGCAGAAGCCCACGAACTTCACGCAAAGAAGTAACATTTGTCGGAAGCAGAAGATTTTGCCAACGCTATCCTCAGTAAAAACGTACCCACACGAGAGTTGTAATGCAGATTTGCAAAGACAGGAAGACTTGTAATGCGCATCCGCATGAGAGCCATTTCCAGTCGTGTTTTGGAATTTGTGATGCTGTGAACAGGATGAGCAGATGAATCTGTGATGCGGCTGCACTTGCTAACCTGCACTACAGTACAGCATGCAACTTGTCATGCGTGACCCCCAAAACTTCAAGGTTTGTGTTGCAAAATCCCCATCTTGACTCTGGTGTGGGTACGTTTTTACTCAGGATAAACGCGGAAATCATCATTTTTCCGGTACTAGCGAGGGGTTAGCAGTTGATGTAACCGCGGCGCGGAAAAACAAAAAGGCACTTCGGTAAAATAAACCGCACCACGACTTTTTTCAGCGGAAGCGGAACAAAGTTGTAACCGGAAGAAGCAGTGCAGGCATGGAGAAGTTGGATATGGCAAGGAAAAAGTTCGTCACGGTACTAAAACCCCCCTGCAGACTGTGCTTGACAAAAAATTCTTCTTGAGCTACAGTAAATATGGAATGATGCACACAAATTTTCACGCATGACAGACAGTTTTGATGTACTATTGCAAAATTGCGCATGATGTGTGATCTTCGTGGTGACCTTTTTTTTGTTGGAGATTCAAGGATATGAACTGCAAAAGTATCGTACTCGTATAAATGCATTACGAATTTCCTCAGCATGAGAGCGAAAATCTGTAATGCGGATTTGCCTAAAGAGAAAGATTTGTAATGCAAGACTTGCATTCATACGAATACGATACTTTTGCACAGGATAAAGGAGGCCCGGTACCGCCGGGGGGAGTTCATCGATTCGGCGCACCGATTATCAACTGCAAATATGTCTGGGTCTGGAAACTTGTGATGCAAGGACGGGGATAGGGAGCGTAAGTACTGTAATGCGCTGCCAAGCATGACAAGCTTTTCCATGGGTCTGGGTTCTTGCGTAGTACTCCGCATGAGAAATCGCGTTTTTGCATGACAGGTGGCAAGAGGAGCTCTTTGCGGCCACGCAATACAGAGTTCAGAGTCATGCCAGGCCAGCATTACAAATCTCGCAATTATCTCCCAGACATCCAGACGCATTTGCATTGCACACCGATTCCGTGTGTGTGAGTGTCTCGGTGCGGGGGCGTTTGCCGAATTGTATTTGGTGTTCGATTATGCATTGCAAAGGTATCGCACTCGTATTGCAATCATGCATTACAAATCCGGTTCTTAAGGCAAATTAGCATTACAAATTTTATTTCTCATAAAAATCACAAGTACGAGCGCGATGGTACTTTTGCCATGCATATTGACACGGAGAACAGTAGGAATTTAGCCGCGAAGTGCGAAAAGCCACCGAGTAGCCGCCAAAATGGTAGTTTTACTGATTTTTATTTCGACTGTCTGAATTGAAATTATGCGTTCTTGCAAGAACTTCTTTAGCACGGGCGATTTTTTTCTGAAGTTTTTTTGAAACATCATTATTTATGATCCGTCATGAACAACATATGAATATGAATTTCACAACCCGTTGCTTTAGCTTTATCTATCAACAAGAACAGAATCCGACCGGCGGCGCGCCACGCGGCTGCACAAAGAGGCAGTTTTCCAGGGGATGTTGTGCCGCAGTTGGGGCCAGGTAAACTTTGAGAAGTTCGCGTCTCTCCCAGTTTCCCAACGGGTTTACATGGAGTGGAAGGACGAACAGTTAAAATTGAAAAAGGATATGAATTGCAAATATATCTGGGTCTGGAAACTTGTGATGCTGGGCGGCGTATCATCAGGAGGCCACAAGTGCTGGCTCAGCATGACAAGTTTCGGAGCTTCTAGGTGTTGCCTATTCTGCATGACAAACTGCGTTTCTGCATGCCAGAAAAATTGCGCTCTTGGGTAACGTGCATGACAGATTTGAGAGTCATGCCAGACAAGCATGACAAACATGCATTCTTCCAGACCCAGACATATATTTGCACTTGATAACGGAGCAAGGTGAGCAAGATGATGCAGCTGCAGCAGAAGCGGCCGATAAAAATGTCGGGACGCTCAGCTCTTCTTCCAGTGGAGGTGGAACTTCGAGCAAGACAACCACGTCGGCCTCCATGAAGAGTTCTTCCTCCTCCTCATCTTTATGACGGTGCACAACTCCCCGTCCCCCTCATTTGTATAGCATGAACGGCAATACAAGCATCAGCAAGAGTGCCGGTTTTGCATGACAAATTTGCACTGGAGTGTAGTGCTATTTGGGCTACCAGAACTTGTCATGCAAACAGTGCCAAGTGGCAATGGGTGGGTTGGGTATTTTGCATGACAAATGAGGGGCGGGAGGGGGAGTTGTGCACTGTCATAATCTTTGATCCAGTTGCACAATGGAGGATCCACGACAAATAAATCGACGCTGAAGCGCAGACGCATGTCCTCGGCCAGTGTGACCGGCGCCAATGTAGTTAAAGGCGCAACAACTTCTACGGGGGCGAACAGAACCAACACTAAGCAAGCCGCCAACAACATCTCCACCTCCAATAAAGGCGCAGGTAGTACTTGTAATATCGAGGGAGACATCAACAACAGTGACAACACGAAGAAAAAAATCGATCCTCGGTTAGAGTGGTTGAACTTGGAGCTGGGAGAGTCCTATGAGTTTGTGGAAGAAATGTCTTCGGGAACGGTTTTTGACGCGCGAGTAAAGCCGGGACAGCCACAACGAACAGGGCTAGTACAAGAAGAACACCAGCACGACGACACTTCTGCTAATCAAGCCACCTGTCAAGCACAAGTAGCGGACCAGCAAATAAGCAGCGGGAAAAAGATGGGAAGCAAGATGAATAGTTTCAAACCCGCACCCAGGGCGGCGGGGGCAACAGCTGCAGGAGCTGACGGAGAGAGGAACTACAGCAAGGGGAACAAGACCACCGGAGGAGGAGGTCGCAGTACCAATAATAACACGCCGAAGAGTGCCAACAAGCGCACCGCGTCGGCTGACGCAAATAGTACGCTGCTGAACAAAACCACTTCCGCTAAGACGACTGCTGTCTTTGCAAGAAGTACTCTCGGCAAGATCGTGGGAGTAGAAGATCATGGCCATGACGGGGACACGACCCTTCTCCGCTCATCCCGGAAGCCCATCATCCCGATCGACAGAAGCGAGACGAACGAAACCATATTGCGAGGAAAAATCCCCCCTCCCCATATTGACGATGTATGTTTCATCCGAAAATTTGTGTTGCTGATTTGTGGCCACAAATCGCGTCTGTCTTGCACGGAAGCAACTCCACGAGCTCCGCAGCATTGTGCAGGCGGTTTGTGATGCTGATGGGCCTACAGCACGGACGTTCCCCATGCTAGACGCCTAGGCCAAAGCCTCTCTATCTAGGCTAAGTATAATCCTGCGTTTATCCTCTCCAGCACGACAAAACTGATTTGCGTACGCAGATCCTGCATCAGAAACTTCGTTTTGATATGGGGAGGGGGGATTTTTCCTTTTGATGAACCAGATACAGTCCGCATTTCAAGTTGAACGACGGGCGCACCTGCATCCCGCGGTTCTACGGGTTCTGGGACAACCCGGCGCAAAAGGTGGCCGGGTCCGCGAAATTTCACGACGCAACCTTGATGCAGCGCACCATGAGCTCTGGTAGTTGTGGTATGTTTCACCAGGATCTCAACTATAGTCCACCGACGAAGGTCAACAAGAATGCAACCAACACTGCCGCGAGCTCGAAAGGTTCGAAAACAACGATAGTTGGGGGCAATCCGGCAGTCGGTGGCATTTCTTCGTGCACGGAGATTGACATCTTCGTATCCTGGGCAAAAGTACTGTCGCACTCGTACTAATTGCATTTATGCATATACAAATCTCCATCCTAAGGTAACACAGCATGACAAATTCCATCTGTCATGCTGAGGTAATTTGTAATTTAATTACTACTAGTACGATGCTTTTGCAATTCATACTTCGACCGGCGTGACAAGAAATCTACTTGTTCCCCCGACGTCAAAGCCGACACCTATCCCACGGGGCGGAAGTGCGCCTTTTTCCTGTTGGAGGTGATGGGCCGGGACCTGTGCTGCGTCCGGAAAAAAGTGAACGAAAATCACCAGTTGTCCATCCCTATCCTGTGCGAATGTATCGTACTCGTAGTAGTCGCAATTATGCATGGCAAATCTATTTGCTTAGGTAAATCCGCATTACAAATTTAATTTGTAATGCTGAGTTAATTTGTATTGCAAAAATTAATACTACGAGTTCGATACTTTTGCAATGCATAATCCCCGCGGTTGGCTTCCTCGGGAAACAGTTGATCCAGATGTTGCAAATGATCCACGAAGAGGGGGTTCTGCACCGCGACATCAAGCCGCAGAATTGCATGCTTGGGAACAATAATCAAACGAAAATGGACCTCCATCTGGTCGATTTCGGTCTGGCCACGCAGTTCGATTTGGCCCAGGACACCTTGATTCACGTCATTTACCGGGAGTCCAGCGGGGAAATCTTGAACAACCAGGATATGCAATGCAAGAGTATCTGTATCGTACTACGTATAAATTGCATTGCAAATTTCCTTAGCATGTGAAATGGAATTTGTCATGCTGTTTTGGCTGAGGAAGGCGATTCGTCATGCGTAATTGCGATTACTACGAGTGCGATATTACTTACTTTTGCACTGGATACAGGATATCGTCCGGCAAATTGAAGACCTTCACGGAAAGGAGGCCAGCTATGCAAGAAAAAAACTCGTGTAAGTGTAAATCTGTAATGCAGAACACGCAACAGAGTTACACCTGTCATGCCAGACAGCCATGAAGTTCTCTTTTCATGTGTGTTTTCACTTACAAGCCACGCATGACAGGTTTTTTCTGTTATGTAGAACAAATTTGTGATGCTGTCAGCCAAAGATAGTTACACTAACACAGTTTTTTTCTTGGATATCAGCTACCGCGAGAATAACCGAACCAGCTGCCCCGAGCACTTCTACACGACGCAAAAATTGGTTTTGAACCAGAAAGTATCAACGTCAAATGTGTCTGGGTCTGGAAGAGTGTAAACTTGCCATGCAGGTTTTCCATGACCTTGACCACCCATGAGATCTGGAATGCGGGACCTAGCATGACAGACTCTGTGAGGTGGTCTCTGTCATGCCAATCCTGCATGAGAAACTCCCACCCAACTTGGTCGAAAGTGGACAGCTTTTGGCATTCATGCAACACAGATTTTTGCATGATTCAGATTCAGCATGACGAGTTGCATTCTTCCAGACCCAGATATATTTGCAATGCATAGAAAGTTTTGAAACGGATGCAGCAAACCTTGAGTTCGCACCTCGCGCCTACACCTTCTGCGGCTCCAGGGCTCCACAGCACCTTCCCGAAGGAGACCAAGTACGTTTCGTTTTCCAACTTGCCGAAGGAGACGCAGGCTTTGTTCGAGAGTATCGTGAGAAAAAAGTGTTACAGTTACACACTCTCATGCAAGACAGGCAAGACAGACAACCTCTGTCATGGAGGAAACGCTTGCCAGCGTTATTTCATTCGTGTTTTCCCTTTATAGTCTGCGCATTACAAGTTTTCTTTGCCATGCAGAGTAAATTTGTGTTGCTGAAATTACAACAAATGTGTAACTGTAACACTTTTTTCCTGCGATAGAGAGAATCGCGAAGCAGTACAACAGGGCTCGCACGCAGCTCGCCCCAAACCCCGATAATCCGCACGCGAGCAACACGGGCACCAAAGACCACCCGAACAGGTCGCCGCTGAAAGTTCAGGATATTCGAGAGACGTGGCTTCCTATCCTGTGCAAAAGTATCGTAGTCCTACTAATCGCATTCATGCATTACAAATTTCTATCTCAAGTTAAATCTGCATTACAAATTTTATTTCTCATGCTGAGGAAATTTGTCATGCGATTTATACTACGTGCGATGCTTTTGCATTCCATACTCCCCGCGCATTATTTGAAGCGGCGCAGCCGCAACGTGGCCTTCCGCGGAACGGCGGCCTACGGATCAATTTCGGCGCTGGAGGGGTATGAGCAGATATCAAATGCAAAAATGTCTGGGTCTGGAAGATTGTCATGCTAGTCTGGTATGACTCTGCACTCTGTATTGCGCGGCCACCAAGAGGTCCTCTTGCCTGTCATGCAAAAGCGCAGTTTCTCATGCGAAATACGCATCACAGAAGCACGAAAAAACTTGTCATGCTTGGCGGCACATGGCAGAGCACTTTATTGTTCACGGACTTGCATCACAAGTTTCCAGACCCAGACACTTTTACTTTTGATAGCAGACCAGGTGGGACGATATCGAGGGTGCGTTTTGGGTATGCATTGCAAAAGTATCGTAGTCGTAGTATCTTGCATTTATGCACGACAAATCTTTTTATCAAGGTAAATCAGCATGAGAAATTCCATTTGTAATGCTGAGCGAAGTTGGAATGCGATTAAGTACTACTAGTACGATGCTTTTGCATTTCATATTGGGTGATGTTCGATTTGCTCCTCGGTGGGTTGTCCTGGCGCCGGTACTATCAAATGCAAACATCGTGATCTGGGTCTGGCAGCTTGTATTGCTGATACTTGCATTGCGGCCTATGCCTAGCAGCTTGTACGCCATATACAGCATCAGAAGCTGTTGATTCCTCGTAAAACGCATGACAAACTTCCATCGAGCACGACAAAGAAACTGGCCCATCGCATTCCACCTGCATCACAATTTTTTCTCGCTGTCCTGCACATAGAAGCGCATGATAAATCGTCCAGGCCCAGATCGATAAGTTTGCATTGCATAGGTACAGCCGGGCGGACATGCTGGAAAGGGAGAAGAAAGAGAAGGAAGAGAGGCGCAGGAACGGAGTTACGGCGGACGATCTCAGGAGCGGGGGGCACAACTACAGGTAACGGTTTAGGGATAGTTAGTACACCGCTCCTAGTACAGACAGATCAACATTTAACATCGTTTCTATCTTTTTAGGTATTTTTGCATGACAGACACAGACTACATTTGCTTTGTTGAGTCACGCATGACAAGCTAACCACACAAGAAATCGGGCCAAAATCAACCTCCGCTTCTTCGATTTATCACAGGCACGGCTCGGACAAGTCGAAGCAGAAGTTTATTCTCAGCGAGAAGAAGCTCTTCGTATCGGAATTGTATAATTCGAAACTGCGAGCCGCGAAGGACTTTATCGCGCGCGACAAGATCTTTGCCGGGCCGTGGAGGGTTACTTCGGACTCCAAAAAAATGAACAGTAGACGGTCTTTATCCAAGAGAAATTATAAAACTGCGTATAGTGTAAGTCTGTAATGCACACCAGCCATGGAACTACCACACAGTGAGTTGAGTTGATGTTACACTTCGTCAACATGCTAGCCGGCCAGGAGATCCTACCTCATGTGTCGTGTTTTCACTGATACTAGCTGTGCATGACAGGCTTTCTGTGTCATGTACTACAGCAGATGTGTCATGCTGTCACTCCACGACGAGACCTACACTAATCCACAGCTGTTTCTCTCTTGGATAGGCTTCCGGTCCGGCGGTACCCCTATGGCGTTCTCAACTGTTACACTCTCAGCTGTTACATGAATTTGTCACGCAAGAATGGCAAAAGTGAAAGCGGGAAGGTTGCGCCTTTTGCATTACAGGTCTGGAGCAGATTATTATGCTATCTAGCGCGTCGAGAACTTGTCATGCGCAGAAGGCTTGAAATCGTGGAAAGTGATAGCGTTTTTGCATGACAAATTCATGTAACAGCTCAGAATGTAACGTTTGAGAACGCCATAACCCCACAGTAGCTCTTCGAGCGGCGGACTCGGGGGGAGGTTGGAATTCCATATGAATTGCAACAGTGTCCTCGTACTAGTCCTAGTGGTAATTGCATTACAAATTTTCTCAGCATGAGGAAGGCAAATTGTCATGCTGATCTACCTTGAGAGAGAGATTCGTGATGCATAAATGCGAAGATTACTACGAGTGCGATGCCTTTGCATTGGATATTCCAAACGATGCAACAATTGATCGACGACGGCAATCCACGGTTCAGGGGCTGCGGAAAGTGGATGCCGAAGGTAGATGAAATTTATGCACAGAATTTTTTCGAGTTTTTTATGTTCTTGTACATCAAGAGCATGAGATGAATTTCATGCAATTATTCCCTGTTGATGAACTTGAACATGAAAGTAAAAACTCCAAATAAAATAATCACAGTGTCTTACCGACGCTTTTCTAGAGATTCTGGACAAGCAGAAATCTTCGCAGATGTGTATCGAAAGGAAAAATTCCCCCTCCCCATATCGAAAGGGAAATCTGTGATGCTCGATTTGCGTACACAAATCAGATTTGTCTTGCTGGCGAGGACTGCTGGCCCATATCGAGCCTGCGAAGACAGGTGCTGGCCTAGGCGCTCAGCATGACAGACGTCTATGCTGCAGGAGCATGAGCATGACAAACCGCCTGCAGAATGCGGCGGAGCCGGTGGAATTGCCTTCATGCAACACAGAGACGATTTGTGGTCACAAATCAGCAACGCAAATTTTCGAAAACGTACCTTGTCAATATGGGGAGGGGGGATTTTTGTTTTTCCTTGTGATAATGTGTATCCCTTGCTCAGACGTTAATACGAATCTCACCTGTTACAGAATAAAATATGGAATGAGAAATCTGTGGTGGAGGTGGTAGATAGAAGCGCATGATGGAAATTTGATTCCTCGGCGAAATTTGTATTGCGAAAGCCGCAAGATATGGACCACTCTGCATGTTAATATTTCTCATGCTTTTCATGCAACACGTAGTTGTAGTACACGACGAAACTCAGACATTATTTATTTACAATGTGAGATTGTAAAAACTGCTGAGCACGGTATATTGTGCTTCCAAAAGCCGGATTATCAGCGGTACATGCAGGCCTTTGAGAAGTGCGAAATAGATATCAAGTGCAAATATGTCTGGGTCTGGAAGAATGCGAGGTTTGTCATGCTTCCCTGGCATGACTAAAAAGTTTATCATGCGTGTCGAAGATGAAACCCGTTTACTTGTCATGCACAAACCCAGTTTGTCATGCGGGATAGAAGCGCAATAGTAAGCAGCGCAGATCTTTCTCGTGCTTGGCTGTGCAACATTACAGAGCATTCACTCTTCCCAAACGAGCAGTACAAGTTTCCAGACCCAGATCGATATTTGCAATGCATAATCGACTTCGGGAGGCAATTTTACTGCGACAAATTTTACCCGCGGGAGTTGCGAGCGAAGCAACGGCTTTCTGCCTCGCAATCAGCCGCACAGTTGACGACTTCTACAGGCGTAGTGGATCAAGGCTTACCTCCTGGCGATCGTGCCCGAGCGGACCAGGTCGTGGCCGCATGCGCCTCCAGCAAGACGACGTCTACGACCTCGCTCGGAGAACGGTCCAAATCTCAACCCACGCTAACCACTTTTACGGAGTCTGATTTAAATCCACGAACCTCGTTTCCGGTGGAAGAAATGAACATCTTCAAAAACCGAGCCATGTACAACACGGCAGGTACTAAGTACAGCTTTTTTTTTTACTAGTCTTATGGTTGCGTCTACACGACCTGCTCACAAGCGGGGGAAAAATTTGTCCCCTCCCAAAATGCTTGAGGCACCAGCTGAGATAGATGAGAACAAAGGGAGCAGCTTTTGACCTGAAACGCCATAGATGTTGTCGGTGTCTCATGAACAAACTGTCTCAAATGCATTCCACCAAAAAGCAAACAGTTGTGCTTTCCGACCTTTGATCCCCCTGGCACACTCTGCGGAAGCGCCGAGCGCTTCCGACTGTCTGGCCAAAGCCTCTTCGGCAGAGGAAATTAGGCAACTCGAGCCATAGAGCATGGCTCATCTCCAGTTGCACCTAATAAAGGGAAATCTGAAGCGGCGCTGAAAGTAGCGCCGAAGTCGACAGCCCCCTGAAGTGTCCTTTGCCGCCCCGCATTTACAACGACACAGGGGTGCCAAGCGACGCCTTCGGGGCCCGCTGTAGTTGGAACTTGGCACGCCGGCTTCTCGACATGAAACAGCAATATCGCCTGGTGCAACTCAATAAAAGTGCGACTTCTTGGTAGGGAAAAATTAAAAAACTTCAAATGTTGCTTGAGACTGTGACAGTTTTTTTGCAGGATATTCGAATCGAGCCATGTACAACAACACGACAGGTAAAACTTCTTCTACTTCGTCAAGCGGCGCCGGTGCTGAAAATTCTAAGAGCGATGACACCCCGAAGAAGAACGTCGGGGGCAACAGCGGTACTTCTAGTACAGCGAAAAATAATGCGCCCAATAATACGACCCCCGGTGCAGCAGCAGCGACTTCTTCCCAATCTGCGAATAGCGTCGCGGCACTATTACCCCGCGCCCTGATGAAGGAGATTCTGGACGAACCGCGTGACAAAGACGTGTTGGTCCTCACTAACGGGCGGGTGAACATTTCGCAGAGTAAGGTGATTTATGCATTGCAAATATGTCTGGGTCTGGAAACTTGTGATGCTTAAATCATACTTGTGGGCGCACTGCAATACGCAGCCAAGCATGACAAATTTTTCTTGGGCTGCTATTGTCTTTCGTTTTCGGGGGCATGGCAAACTGCGTTTTTGCAAGACAGGCAGGAGGCCTGTTGCCTGCTCGTGCATCACAGATTCATGAGTCATGCCAGACAAGCATGACAAAGTCGCACTCTTCCAGACCCAGACATATTTGCATTTGATATGATTTGCCAGGAGCGGTTTTGCAAGCCGAGCGAGCGGGACATTCGGCGGGCTATGCATTGCAAAAGTACAATTGCAACCGTGCATTACAAATGTTTTTCTCAAGGTAAATCCGCATTACAAATTCGATTTTCCATGCTGAGGGAGTTTGTAATGCAATAATACTTACAGGCACTACTGGTACTTTTACAATGCATACGGGCCACGCAGGAGCAGTTTTCGGATGTTCATTTCTACGACGAGGGGCTTCCGGAATCGACGTTATCTTTTCCGTCAACCTCTTCCTCCGATCAGAACGTACCGTCCGGAGGGGGCGGCGGCCCGGTGGGGGGTGGAGGTGCTAAAATGAAAATGAAGAATGGTCCACCTCCCGGGGGGAACACCAAAGGCACAGGCGGCGGGGGCCGCGCGGACCATGATCATCCTCCTGCGGGGCGTAGCAGCAATAAGACGTCGGGTAACAACTACAACAATCACAATACCGGTGGGACAAGCAACAACAAGCGTAATAACAATAGCGACAAGAACTACTTCTACGACAACATGACCAACAGCAACAAGATATCCCACAGAAAAAAGGAGGCAGGGCAGATTTGTAACGCAAAAATAAATACGCAGAAAAATCTGTCGTGGGCAACCCCATAGCATGCTGTTTAGGACATGCAAGACAGATTGTTTTGTCTATTTATTTTTGCATTACAAATCTGACCTGCTTGCTTTTTTCTGTGTGATACAAGAAACAGGGCAGCACGTTTGAAGTGCTCTCGGCGAAGAAGATGCGAACGAACCACGGCGCGCAACTGCGGGAAAATTTTATCAACTGCAAAAATGTCTGGGTCTGATGAAAGAAATCAGATGTTTGTCATGCAGCTTTTGCATCTGCTTCTGCGCGGAGGTCTGGAATACGCGCAAAGCATGAGAAATTCTTGGGAGGCTTCTTCATGCCTAGCCCGCATGAGAAATGTCCCCTCGCCCAGACAAAAACCAGCTATATTTTGCTGACCATGCAAGACAGATTTTTACCTGTTTCGGAACTCGCATGACAAGTTTGGATCCTTCCAGATCCAGACATTTTTGCATTTGATAAATTTGCAGAAAATGCAAAAAGCCCGAGCTGGTGCTGAAGATCGGGATCACAGGGAGCGGCCTGCGCAGAACAAAGATCAAGACCGAGACAATTATCAGAAGCTAGTACCCACCAGTAGAGCAGACAAAAATAGCAGTATTCTGGCCATCTACGGAGGTGGTGGTGCGAACAACGGTGCAGGAGCTACTGCGAGTACTAAAAATAGCGGGAAGCTGAAGCGGTCTTCGCAGCAGTTTTTTTACGTGGATCACGATTACAACAGTGACCGCCTGAAAGTGAATAACACCCGGCGGACTCTATCATCTGCAAAAACATCGACAGACTCGTACTAGTAGAAAAATCGCATGACAAATTTCCTATAGCATTTTTACAAATAAAATCTGTGTTGCGGATTTACTGCCTCAGGAAGAAAATTTGTAATGCATATACTGCGATCATTACACAAACACAACTACGAGTGCGATAGTTCTTTTGCACGGGATAGACCCCGCCGCCGAGTAGCAAAAATGTAAATGGTTCTTCGTTGTACAACAAGAATGATAAACGGCCAGTGCAGGAGGAGAATGACAGCGACCAATATCATCTTTGTCAACGGGAAAAAACAAACAAAATTGTGACGGATAGCCGGGATCTCGACCTTCGCCGGAAGAACAACGACCTTGCCGCCTGTAAAAAGTTTGTGCAGGAACAGGAGGGTAAAAATACAGCCGGGACGAAGACGAGCACCCGGGGAGGAGGTACTGGTACGAACAACAAGAGAACGACCCAGAACGGAAATGTAAATAACGGAAACGGGACGTCGAGCGTTGTTTCCGGAGGTGGGAGTACTTCTAGCAGCCACAACCGAGGACGGAGTTCGGGGCCAGTGAATTGTATTAAAGATAGAGCTGCACCACGAGCAGGACCTGGTGGTCGTGCCGCCGGTGGCTGCACCACTAGGAACAACCACAACTACGGCAACAATCGCAACCGCGGAGCTGGCGCACAACATCTATGCATTGCAAAAGTTGTATCGTACTCGTATAAATGCATTACAGAGAAAGACGAAAGTGATTTTATTGAAGACCGCTGTTGCGGGCATAAACGGCAAGCTTTTTCAAAAAGCTGGCATTTCAAGGAAGAAGATCTTTTTTACTGAATTTCACACAAGCACGGCCTGACTTTCAATTTGGATGTAGACAAAATGCAAATTTTCCATGCGTAAGCAAAAAAGATCTTCTCGAATGGCGTTCAAGTGGTAAACTTCTCATGCTGTTTCTGTGAAAAAAGACTCTTATTTGCGATGGCGACATTTTGTTTTTGATGCAACCAGCGACACTGCTGCAAGGCCGCATACTTAAGTAGGTCTTACGGAATTTTCGTAAGGTTTAGGTCGACGCTTAAGGCCCCAAGATAGTAACGTTACGCAGATAGAAAGGAAAAAAGCAAGAAAGAAAAAAGAAAGCAAGCGACACCGGCGACACGAGCACCCTTAGTACGTGTGAAGCGTGTCCATCTTCGTTGTAATTACAAATTTCCTCAGCGTGAGAAATAAAATTTGTAATGCTGATTTGCCTCACCACGATGATTCGTAATGCATGACTGCAATACGAGTACGATACTTTTGCACAGGATGACATCGAGGCAGAAGCGAAAGTTCGGACCGGGTCGTAGTTGATCATGTGCGGCGTGACACAAAGCCGCCGCTCCGCGGGCGGGGCAATAATAATAAACATCCGGCGGGTGGTGCTGGTGCAGGGCGGAATGGCAACAAGAACACCGGAGAGTACAAGTCGAATTGTAACTGGAGTCGGAAGGCGGACGTGACGCCGCCATATGGATGTGTCAGAGTTGAAATCGACAAAGTTGAAATAATTTGCCATGCATAAAATGGATGCCAGTTGGAACCCAGTTGCCAATTGGCGCATGACAAATTTCGGCTGTCCCTAAATCCAGTTTGTCATGCTGTTTAGGCAAAGAAGAGCGATTTTCTCATGCTACTTTAGCAGCTCGAGCTGTAACCCCAAACAGGCTCACAATTGGCCTCACTTGCCTGCTCTGCAACACACGTACCTCGGGTCATGCATTTTATGCATTACAAATTATTTCATTTTCAATTTTGACGATTTCAAACCTGACGCTTCCATACGCCACGGTACAATGATAATCGGAACAAAAAGAACAGTACGAACAACAATAACTCATCTCGCGGGAGGAACAACAACAACAAAACTGCGGGTGGCACAACTGGTGGAGGTGCGACGTCGAGCAGAAACAATGGCACTGGTGTGAATAGAAACAACACGAGGCGGGCACGCAGCAGAAGCCCGCCGAGGGGGAGGAGTTGAGGACTGTTTTCCAGATTGATTTTTGCTTTCTAGTATTTACGTTTGTCAAAGGAGCTAAATGCGGTTTTTCCAATAAGTGCGTGTCTGCTCTTGCCGATATTGGTACGCAAGGTTGCACAACAAGAAGGAAGCTAAGCAACCCGGAGTCGATGCTTACAACTAAACAGTTTTGAATTTAGGAAAAACTGGCAGACAAGAATCGTCAACCTCAACCTAGTATACTGTTAAGTACTTTCTATCGTAGACAGTCTCGTCGTAGAGTTTTTTGCCCTCTGAGCTGCAAATGCAATCAAAAAAGTTTATAAAACGACAAAACCTCTTTTGTATGTCATTATTGCATTGGTTTATTGTTGGATAAAAGTTATCGAATGAGAATCTGAAATAGTAAACGAATAACATTCAATCTCAAAGCGATAAGATTTGACAAAAAGAAATTAGTAGAATTGTGAAAAAAAATATTAGAAGAATTCCTCCTAGAAATTATAGGCGACACTAGATAGAAAATGATTTTTTCAACACTTAGACTTTTTAAACTACGACGACTAAAAACCACCCCCGAAAATCTTCCACTTCTGAGGTTACAGCCTTCAGCTGACCAAGTTTTGTCCTTCCCTGAGAAGTGGTCACGATCATATTATACAACCTAATTCGTTATCAATCTATCTCATGCAATCAGAATCAGGTGCGCCATATAGCACAAACTACTCAACGACAGCAGACTAAATTTATGGAGAGATGCGTAACTACCACTGCTCTCATCAACGTACGTACCGCGATTTTTTTGCCGAAGAAGAAATTTGTAGAGTTAGCCGTTTACAAGACGCGCCAATGACAAAATTTTATGCCACGTCTTATACTGGCGGCCTCCCTGATGAAATTTCTAGACCTCTTTTCGTCACTCCGACTTCGTATCTTAAGTTTGTTCTGGAAAAGCGTCGCCCATCAGGGCTGATGTGGGTGCGGCCTGCAGGAGGCTTGCGCCATCTTGTGGAAGAACCTGCGGGGCCAGTAAAAGAAGTAGAAGTGCTCCTGCTGATGTTCTTCTTCTCTGGTCAGAAGAACAGGGACTGCGCATCGTCACCAGCTCAACATACACATTGTCGCTCCACCAGAGAAGCAGGAACACGAGCGAGCTTCCCTTCAAGCACAAGTTTTGACAAAATTAACGGTGCTTGGTAAAAACAAGAACGTTGATGCGCTCACAACTCTACTCGGTCTTTTTACACACGATAGTTTGTTATTTGCAGTCACTGAGCACTTGCTCCGCTTCATTCTCATCCATCTTCCTCCTCGTTTTCGCTGGATTCAAAGAAACAAAAATGGCCTTTCGCTTCCGTCGTGAGGGGAACTACACGAAGCACCGCAAGCACATGGAGAACATGGGCTTGCAGCTATCCTGTGCAAGAAAAGCATCGTACTCGTACGAGGAATCACAGTCATGCAAGACAAATCTCTTTTTCAAGCTAAGTCAGCATGACAGATTTCATTTCTCATGCTGAGCTAATTTGTATTGCAATACTACGAGTAGTACGATGCTTTTGCAAGAATGCATAACAGCCCTGGCTGGATGATTTCCGTTGGCGCGTGTGCAATTTTCAGTACCACTGGTACCTTGGACCAAAAGCGCACCAGGCGATCGAAGAAAATGCAATCGGACAAAGGGAAATTCCGTATTTGCAAAACATTCCGAGTCGAGAACAACATGTTGCAACAACTACAGGAGCGCGAAACACAGCAGCAGGTCAAGGTCTGGTCCATCACGTTGCGAGAGGACAGCACAACCGGAGCGCCCCATTTCGTACCTTCCTCCCGAACATCGTGCCGCAGCGCAAGCTATCAAATGCAAATATCCCTGGACGTCTGGAAGATTCCGAGATGTGTCATGCAGTTTTTCCAAGCTCCGCCAAGTCTGGAATGCAGGCCCTAGGATCACAGCTTCTTCATCTTCCCCTTGGTGATCCCTATTCTGCATGAGAAATTTCCAATGAGTCGGCATGACCAGAAGTGGGCAACTTTTGCAACTCATGCAACACAGATTTTTGTAGCGATGCAGTGGTCCGCAACATGCATCACAGATTCGCACCCTTCTAGACCCAGACATATGCGCAATGCATACAAGCAGAGCAACCCCTTTTGCCTGTCGTCGCACAACAGCACCGGTTATCAACTGCAAAAATGTCTGGGTCTGGAAGAATGCCAGACTTGTCATGCAGGTTTTCCATGACCCATGAGGTCTGGCATGATCATGAAGGACATAGCATGACAGATTCTGTGAGAGTTCTAGCATGCCTATCGTCCTGCGTGAGAAACTGCCACTCGATTAGGCCAAAAGTGGACAGCTTTTGGTAATCATGCAACACAGATTTTTACATGATTCAGATTTAGCATGACAAGTTGTTTTGTTCCAGACCCAGACATTTTTACATTTGATACCGGTTGGGTGGAAGCACGGGGCAGGACGGAGTTACTTACCGAAACGAAGCCGCGAACGAAGCACCAGGTGTCCGGTATGGATTGCAAAAATGTCTGGGTCTGGAAGATTGCAACTTGTGATGCTATTTTTGGAATCTAAAAAAATCTGTATTGCATGAGCAGCAAGTAGAGGCGTCCAGTTTTAGCTCCGCGTAGAGGGCATTTCTCATGCGGGATAGGCATCAAGATGCCTGCAAAAAATTTGTGATGCTGGGGCATACACCACAGAGATCACGGGTCATGCAAAATGTCCATGACAAACCTTGCATTCTTCCCGACCCAGACATTTTTGCACTTGATATCCGGAACCGATGACCGCATTCCGGAGATGCCGAAGTTCAGGTGAAGGATGGTGAGCAAGAACACGAGTACGACCTCCGGGGTTGCATTTTCCATATATGTCCTGCTCACACGAACAGTCAGTCACACGAACAGTGTGTCAGATAGATACTCACAGTCAGTCACACGAACAGTGTGTCTGACAGTCAGTCAGAACAGTGTGTCAGATACAGAACAGTGTGTCTGACAGTCAGATAGATACTCACAGAACAGTGTGTCAGACAGTCAGTCACACGAACAGTCAATAGATAGATACTCACAGCCACACGAACAGTGTGTCATTTTTTCACTACCCCAACCACTCTGACAGTCAACTGTAAAAGGCGGTAATAAAAGAAAACTGGTATACAATAGTAGGCTCGATAGCCCTTGTAGGGGCGTGAAAGTTGTTCTTACTAGATTATCACTTTTTCTATTTTACCGCGAAGTAGTGACATCAAATAGAAGCACAGGAGACTTGGTAGAAAAATTTCGAACCTTCGAGAAACATTGGTATATGAAAAAACACGAGAAACTTTAATTGTGTTGCTTTATATCCTTCCTCCCGAACATCGTGCCGCAGCGCAAGCAGAGCAACCCCTTTTGCCTGTCGTCGCACAACAGCACCGGTTGGGTGGAAGCGAGGGGCAGGACGGAGTTACTTACCGAAACGAAGCCGCGAACGAAGCACCAGGTCTCCGGAACCGATGACCGAATTCCGGAAATGCCGAAATTCAGGTGATGAAATAAGATGAGCAAGGCAGCAGGGGGTCGCATTTTCATCAATTATGTTCTACCTCCTTGGGCTTGACGCTGACGCACAGTTTCTACTGCAGCTGTGTTGCTAAGGACAATGAGAATGAAGTGTTGTTCGGGACAATGAAGCTCTCTCGGCGGGGGCCGCGCAAAAACGATTTTATTTCAAAAAAAGCACCACTGCATTTTTCTCCACTAGATGTTCTTTTTATTTAACGAGCAGCCTGTTGAGTTCGTCCCAACTTTGAGCAGTTCATCAGAGATGTTTCGCCCGTCCTCCCATGGTAGCCAGCGGCAGCGCGCAAGGAGATCCATACAGGTCTATGAATTTTTACTAGGATGATAATGTATCTGAACCATAAGAACATCGTATTTTGAACGAAGATCTACTGTATAGCGGTATTAGGTGCGCAGCGCTTGTTCTGATCAGTTTTTATTTCCACGTGGCTATGCTTGATATTGACGCACCAAGACTACGAAGCTCTTCTATCTTAGCGCGTTTTTTTGATGCTATAGCAAGCGGACAAAAAGATCTCACGATTTAGTATATGTCGGCAAGGGAAGTAGACCTAGCTGATAGTTTGGTATCTTGATCGATCTCATTTTCTCTTTTTCCGGCTGCGCGACGAGATCTATTTATCGTTTTTTTGCAGGTCGGCGCAGCCGTTTGTATTTCTGACGATAGCAAGCAGACACAGAATGACGCACAGCCACACGAGCACAGCACAGTACGAACTGTTCATGATTTTTCCACTACCCCAACCACTCTGACAGTCAACTGTAAAAGGCGGAGGTGAACAAGAGAAGCTGATTTACAATCAATAGTAAGCGCGCTAGCCCTGCTTCTAGGGTCGTGAAAGTTCTTACCCGATAGAATCAGTTTTTCTATTTTACCGTTTAGTAGTGACATCAAATTATAGTACAGCAGACTTGATATAGAAAAACTTAAACTTTCCGATAATTTTATAAATGTTATTTTACGAACCTTCGAGAAACTTTGATATATGAAAAAACACGAAAAACTTATAATAGTTTTGCAGTGTGTTGCTTTATAGATTGTTTCGTCGCGCGTCAAATCCAGATAGTGATACAACCATTGAGGACATCGATGCTTTCAAAACCCTTTAAAAACACGACGCTGCTGAAATAGAACAAAAAACAGCTACACGCAACATAGATCTATCACGCAAAAAGTTCGATTTCTTTATCGGATCGTTTGGAGTATAACAAAAAACTTCAGCGTGCCGCCAGCCACGAACGACCTACTTCTAGCAGTCTAATGCTCAGAAGAGTCTTCTGCGCGAAGAACTACATGCATTAACCTTATTGATAAACGTTTTTTGTCGTAAGTATTTTTCGACTCACTTTTTCCAAACCGGAAACTACTATTAAACACGACTTCTGAGCCCGTTTTTTATTCCCGGCATTCGTCGGTCGAAAATTCACCTGGGTTACATTCTAGATACAGACACAACTTAAGTCTAAGATTGTGAAGGCGAGACACAATTCTTTTTGATTGTCGCATTTTCGCAACTACGATAAGCAAATGCTTACCACTACCACACGTTGTTGGACGCCTCAATTGACCTCCCAAAGTAACTTTATATATTTCCTTGTTGATACCGCCTTTAAAAGAGTCTTCACGAGGGGGAGGCTTCTACCGAATATTCAGTGGAGCTTCGCCTTCGGATAAAAACTAAAGCCATACAGGAGAACTGAAATTCGAAATTCTCTCAGTTCAAATCCATTTTTACGTTTTTCTCTCCACAGCTGCTTCCAAAGGAATTCGCAGCTCAGAACGTTCTTGAGTATCCGCGAACAGTTTCTATCGGAAAGCAGCCTGGTGATACATTAGATCTGCATACATAATTTTTGTACGATGTTCGACGCCTACTTCCTAGAGCTAGATTAATAACTACAGAATTATATATTTCCTGTTTGTTTATTTCCTACCGAATTGTAGTGACAACGAGAACGACACTCACTTCCGCCCCAATCGCATGATTATATCAAGTAGGGGCCGTTCAGATCGTAGCTATAAGTAGGAGAAAGACCCGTTGTCTAGAAGTAGACCCAAGAGCATTAACAAGCTGAAGAAAGACGACACATACGCTGCAGCAACTTCCGGAGGCTCTTTCAGGAGGAAGGAGCACAGTCTAAAAATCTTTGGCAAGAGCAAGACGGTGAAGTAGTATCTCTTTCTTTTTCAACAGCAAAACCTAGGGACAACGGCACGACGGGTCTCTCTTTCAAACGAATTTTCGGCGCAAGACAACTACACCGGTACCGAATATTCAGTGGAGCTTCGCCTTCGGATAAAAACTACATCGGTAGAAAGAGAAGAACTGAGATTCTAAATAGTCTCAGTTCAAAATCAAATCCATATATAGTGTCTACCACAGCAGCTACAACAGCTTCCAAAAGCATTCGCAGCTCCCAAAGCGTTCTGGAGTATCCGCGAATATTAGCGTCTATTGGAAAGGAGCAGCCTGGTGATACATTGAGTCTGCTTGTTACATGATTTTTGTACGATTTTTCCTAGAGCTATTCAAGAGAATTATCATTACCCAGCATTTGTTTCCCTATCGAATCGTCAAAACGGTACTAACTTCCCAAAACCCGGCATTATATCAAGTAGGGGTCGTGTTGTAGAATCTAGCTAGACGAGGACGACCTGTACTAGAGAAACCACAAGAAGTGCCAGGCGTCATCATTCTAGCGCGCCACAATTACGGCGAAACTTTAGTTTCGGAACATCAAGAACTTCCTTTCGCCTTCTCGTCCTTTCGAGAAGGCAGACCAGCGTTAGTACAAGAACGACCAGCACAGCATTTATTCAGCGGGTTTGGAAAGGGCCACACCGCAGCTCCATTTTACGCCAAGAATAAAAGGGAAAGAAGAAGAAGAACTTCGACAGCTGATATCGTTTTATCTGAGCAACAGTTACAGCACTAGCAGCAGCAGCAGCAGTAGTGCTTCTCTAAGATCCAGGAGGACAAGAGCTACCGGTTGAAGAAATTTGTAAGGCCTGTGAAGCAGAAGAAAATCATTTACAACAGGACCGGACGGATAAGCCGAAAATCATTTACAACTAGTACGGGGCCGCCGAGGACAACTTGCAGCAGTTGTAGTTCTACCGCAACTTCTACAACAACCTCAGAAGTTGTCCAGCGCCCTCTATTTGGCGAATATATTGCAGAGGAACGAAGAAAAATTCAGATCTTTGTACGATTGAACTACGAGCAGAAAGAGAAGAAGATAAATGCCTTGGTGACAGTACGTACTATAGATAGGACGACGTATTTTAGAAGTCAGCCGCGCCAAAGAGCCGAGGAGAAGTTCTCCTGGACGAGAACACATCTATCAATTGCACTACACGACCTATTTGGACACTGAATTGAAGCTACGCGACCGGGTCGCTTCGTTTCGCGCACGATCATCTTCACGAAGAAGCTACACGGGTACTATCTTTTTTTTCTTAGATGAGCGTGGCTGCGGCCTTTTCCTAGTGCTTGTTGCATGGTGGTAGTTGTAGAGGGTTACTTCTAGATCGTGAAGGTTGTAAGAAAGTATGCAAGTGCCATCAACTAGATCAACATTTTATCTCTTGAAGAACATTACTACACAGGTGCCAACGATAAGCGAAGATGTACGCGAACCAGTCATCTTCATATTCGGGGGTGCGTGGTGGACCACGATCACAGCGACAAGGTGGTGCTACTGCAAAAAATCAAGGCACTAGTGTCAAGAACACGACTTCAAGTTGTACTAGCATGTCGAGCAGTCGAGCAACCCCTCTTCCAGGTACTTCGTATGATTATGATTACCAGCAACAGCAGACTAGGGACAACAGTAGAGACCACAGGCCGCGCGGCGGGGGTCAACAACTCGAAGACCACAGGCCGCGCGGCGGGGGCCAACAACAACAACTCCGCCAAGCGGACGAGCACAATACTATCCCGTACCCAGCGGTCCCCTCTCGGCCGCCCGTTCCTGGCGACGGGTTGTACGCGAGTCGGCACGAAGGAGCTCCTGCAGGGAAAGCTGCTGCCAACAGGTTTTATTCCGCAACGGGAGGAGGTGGCCGCGGTGGTGGGGCTGGAGCTCCAACTGCTTCTGGGGCGAGGCATGTGGATCATCAACAGAAGTCCTCTCCTTCGTACTACGACTACCAGGATGCAGCTGACCACCAGGACCAACGACCAAGTGGAGGCATGATCAATCAGGTTATGGATGTGTCAGGATCGAAATCGACAAAATCGAAACAATTTGTGATGCATAAAGCCGCTACTAGTTGGAGCGCAGTTTCTCAGTGGCGCATGACAAATTTCGGGAGCACCAAAATCCAGTCTGTCATGCTGTTCGGGCAAACAAGACTGCTCCTGTCATGCTACTCTGGCAGCACATTGTGTACCCGTAAACAGGCTTACAATCGGTCTCAGTTGCCTTATCCCCAATACAGGCCTCTAGTGTCCTACAGTTTATGCATCACAAATTTTTCGACTTTGTCGATTTCGATCCTGACAGTTCCATACAGGTTCGGGCAGGAGTACAAACCGCGAAGATTTCTTCACACCCTTCTATCAAATGTAAAAATGTCTGTGTCTGGAAACTTCTGATGCAGTGTGGCGTATCATGAGGAGACCACAATTGCTGGCTCAGCATGACAAGTTTCTCAGCTTCTAGGTGTTGCCTATTCTGCAAGACAAACTACGTTTCTGCATGACAGAAAAGTGTGGCTCTTTGGTAATGTGCATGACAGATTTAAGAGTCATGCCAGACAAGCATGACAAACTTGCATTCTTCCAGACCCAGACATTTTTACACTTGATACCTTCTGCGAAGGAACAACAACAACATCATGCTAGAGATAATTTCAAGATGGGACGTGCTGGAGGTGGGGAGCCAACGTACAGTAAAAATTCGACGGCGGACTATCCTCGTCGAGGTCCTCTGCAAAGGGATCACGTTCTTCTTGACAGCTTCAGCTACGGTCGCGATCATTACAACAATCAGACTCGTCGTTCCTACGAGAACGGCGACCAGGGAGAGGTGGTCCCTGGTGGCCATCGAGCTACTACAGAACGCTCATACAACAGGAACAGCTACGACGACCTCCAGAACTATGAAAACCCCCAGTTACTGGACATCCAGCGCGAGGATCGGGGGTCGACATGGGCGGGCTA